GCTGAGACGAATGTGCATCCTGGAGTTGAAGGGGTCTACAACCCACTACAAGTAATTCGAAATAGAAAAATAAGGGCTAAGTATCATGAATATCCCAAGCTTTTAACTATCAAGACTTTACCATTAGCATCAAATGTGTTTAGCTCCAAAAATAAGCACAGAGATTCCAAACGACAATGGAAAATGGTATGGGCAGTCGAATTAAATGAACTAATTAGCGATTTGTCGTGGAGACAATTACACTGGAATGAGCTAAAAAAAGCCAATGGAGAAATTTGGTTTCCCACATCTACAGATGCATCAATTTATACCTCAAAGCTGGGTGACTCGAAACATCGTGGACACAAATTATATGATAAATTGTTTGCTGATACTGAGGACGAGACAAATAAGGATAATAGTGGAAAAGAAAGCAACAACCTATTGGCTAAAACTTCGACTGAAAGCTATAATGATTCCAAGCAACATGATACAAAGCGGAGAAGTCACCATAAGACACATAAAATTAAAGAGAAGATAAAAAAGCATTCAAAAGGATTTTATTATTCATCTCCTTCATCTTCCCAATCATCCTCGTTTGCTCGGGATGCACTACAAGACAATAGTCAAGTCACTCCAGTTGATCGACAAGTTGAAAAGCCTCGTGATTCTCTTGTATCTGGACTGAAACATTCAAGGGGTGATAGTCTTATGAATGAATCCAATCAAAGTGGAGTAGAAAATGAAAATGAGATCACTGAGGAACTGCCCAAATGGAATGAGAAGTACACTAAGCAATATGTGACCCCGTCTATAAAGGTAGATGATAATTATGTTGGTAATGAATCAAATATACTGAGTTTACAAATTAAACCAATAGAACATAAGAGAGATAACAGTTATGAAAGAGCAAATCAAATGGACCCATATAAAAATGAGAAAAAGGAAGACATAGAAGAAATAGAAAACGTAGAAGAGGTTGATGACCTATATACATCTGAACAGGAGCATGCTAGTCAGGAAATAATTGCAATAAATTCAGACTTGATTTATTTCAATACAGCACAAATTATTAAATTAAGTTATTTAAAAAATATCCATCCAGCTATTTTAACGTCAATTCACAAGAAACTTGATTTTATTATCAACAAACAGTTGTCAGAGATCACAAAATTATCAGTCAACATAGATGACAATTACATATCAACTCATGAAATGTTTTACAGTGGGTTTTTAAACGAAATAAAGTCATTAACACATTTAATCAATGACGACTATTCAATTAAGATAGATAATCTATTAAGTAATAGCGATAGATCAATTGGTGAAATTAATACTTCCTTATCTTTAGAACTAAGAAAAGCCAACGAAAAGTTGGATAAGTTAAATTCCTCATTATTTGGAAATATTGTAACAAATACATTTAAAGATAAAGATATTTCTATGTCCTTCACAGATGGTGGTAATTACAAGATGCTATATCTACTTTTGGAAAATTTTATTGTTATACTACTTAGAGTTATTTGGGTGATTGCCAACATCTATAGATTTTTTAGATTGATCGTACAGATCATCTGGAAAATAATTTGGCATATTTTTTCATTTTGTACGTTAAGTACTTAATTTATTCATATAGAATTCAATTCATCAAGAATTGATTCTTAGACCACTTATGTCGTCTAATTCCTGGATGAATTTATCTGCATTAATAAAATATTCGTATTCATTATCCAAGTTTATTAACGATGGGTCAAATTCGGGAACTGAATTTGATAACTCCTCTCTATGGGATTGTTGTGAAGATGATATACTATCGTGCATCCTATTTTTGACAAAATAATTATTCAAGCCAATCAACATCTGATGGTTCATGATGCTCTCAGAGTTATCATTATCGTTTGTTTTTCTATAAACCCCATAGTCTGTGTTATAGGATTCTTCATTCAAATCAATTGTATAACGATCTGAAATATAGTTGTTGCCACTATCAATAATAACACCTATTATCTTATATTTTAAATCGATATTCAGAACTAGAAGTTGACGTAATAGACTCATTTTCAATTGATATTCTTTATTGGATATTTTCCCAACATCTAGCATAATCTTTGGTTTTGTAATATTTAACTTCGAATAATTGTGTACCTGTTCGATAATATGTTCGATTTCAGTGTAGTCCAACTCAAGGTTTATCTGTAATATTATAAACGTCTCATCATTACCAATCGTCCCGACGACTGCAACGGTTCCAACTTTAGTAACAGATAAAAATTGATGAGGATTGGAAGAAGCATACATTGCATCCAAGGCCGAAGTAATTTTATGAGTATAATACTCTTTATCAAAACAACTTGTAGCATCCAGAGTGTGGAATCCCACCGCATATGATGCACCAGATACAAGCTCTCGATGTAGCTGTGATTCACTCAATCTACTGCTCAAAATACCTAAACAGAATAAGTCTGAGAAATACTGAGGTGTAATGGTGTCAGAAGTCTCGCCAACTATAGGACAAATCTCTGCTAACTCACAAAGTAATGCTCTACATATTGGAATTCCCTGTTCAATTTCGTACGTCATGATTGAATTGGTGCCTCTTAAAAACGATGGATCATTGTAACCATGGTTGTACTTCGTTAAATTCGTTCTCAAAGACAATAATATATTTTTGAGTTTCAGTTTATTGGAACTTTGATATAAGCCTAATACATTGCCAGGTAAGATTCCAGTGGGCATATCATGAAATTCTTTACCATTCATTGTGCCCACCCATTTCGCACATGCCTTCACTTGATTAGCATTAGTAATGAAACTAGGACCTGTAATTACAAGCAAAGGGTTCGCAAAATCATTCACATCAGTTATATCCTGAGATAATATGTTTCCGATACTTTCCCTGTATCCAACAATCTTTTCTTGCAACATACTTGTGGTTGGCAATAAGAAATTCTGAATTAGCTCAGGCTGCGCAACGGCAACTTGTCCTCTCTCACTTAAACACAAGCCCGACGACGAATAATTATTTCTTGACGCATTTAAAAGAGGAAATGTTGTGCCATAAATCCATTTAGGTGCTAAACTCACTGAAGACGATCCTCCAGAACTTGTATTAGACGAGGAAACCCTAGAAGATTCCGGCTCTACTGATAGTTCTAGCCTATTCAATTGATCCACTAATTGCTGAGACCTCTCTGTATCATTTGTGGGCTTTCCTTCAGAATCATTATCAACTTCACTAATTTCTCTTGTGATTTCACAAGCAGAATTGTTTTCTGGTTCACAAGCAGAGCCGACTGCTTCTTTTGCATCCAACTGAAAAGTCGCATCATCCTTGGGTGTTTTTCGATTTACGAATTCTGCATTGATACCAATAGAAGACTTCATGTTGTTCTTAGGTACTTTGAAAAATCTTCAATATTTATTGAATATTACTAGAGTTTTGTACGAATACGGCTTTTTACAAATCTTATAAATGAAGTTTACAAAATGAGTCAACGTACAAGTGATATTTTGCAGCTGCTTCGTACGGCACGTGAGGGGTTAAAAGTTATCAAAACTCGGTACTAATTATGGAAACGGCAGATTATCAAGAAGTAAACGGAATAAATAGACAATGCAGCCAAAATCCATAGCATTATTGCGTATGTATATATGACTACTAATAAGGTTGAGAATTTCTGAAAACTAACTAAGATTAGAGAAGATTGATTCCAATATAGAGCAAATTTTACAAAAATTTCAGGACATCTTTGAAGTAGCTATAATACAAGATAAATCAAAAGAATTGTTGTCAGTCGAGTCATTGACCATAGAATCAAATGCATTAATGGTAATAAGGCTATGTGAGGATTTGTTGACAACTACAAGGACATTGAAAGAAGCATGGTGTCTTGGAACAGTGAAAGTTAATTTTGGTGATAGTACAGAGGAACCCTACGATACGAAAGCTGTTTTCGAGAAATACAATGCTTTGACGGACAAAATAGCGCAATTCGAAAACATGAGCACGATAGCTACAGATGGAATGCAATAATACTACATGTACATAATACATTAATCGTTACACATGAGGTCTATATGAAGCTCAGTCTGTAGGCACATATGCCTTTTTCAAGGGACTGGTGGCCCGCGTACTGGGTGTACTATTGGAGGCAAGATCCAGCTTTTCCTCGAATAAATTAACAAATTTTTGAACTTTCCCAACTTTGATAAATTTGAATTTTTTATCCAGTTTAATATATTTGGGAACGGTGGATGACTTGTCTCGGAATGCATACTCCAAATCCGGATTGGCATCCTCATAATTGATCATGGAAAATGATGCAGCTGATGTTCTTCGTGATACCGATTTATGCTTTGGGGACAGGGATACTACCGACAGGCGTCTTGTGGAGGATTTTGGAGACTCCAAGTTTTGCTGGGTCAATTGAGCAGGGGATCTAAGAAGTGATGTATGCTGTTTGGGGTTGTGTTGAGTCTCTGAATGTAATGTCATCAATTCTGGAATTGCACTAACGATTTTAGCGCTCTCTTGCGAATTATCCGATCTAATGAAGTATTCATTGTGTCTTAAATTATTTATATCTTCAATAAATGTGTCTTCATACTCTTCTTCCTTAATTGTATTTATTTGCTTGCTTGTTTTTGATATTGACGGGCCAGTATTAATTCTGAAGACATTATTATCCTCATCATTTTCTATTAATATACTTTCGGTTCTAATCTCGTAATCGTCGTTGCCTTCCTCATTAGCAGTCGACCTAGTATCATTAGATCTCAATAATAACAATTCCTCTAGTGATGACTCATAGTCGTCATCATATACGAATGACTTCCCGTTATTAATAGAGACATCTTGAATGCCCATGGGGACATCTGTAATATCGGCTAAATAGCCATTGTCAGCTATATTTATCTTTCGTGACTCGACGTTTGAATCCAGTGTCTGTTGCTCTTTAAGTCCCTTTATGAATGTCGCTTTTATATAGTTTTCAACTTGATCTATTAATTGTTCATCACTCAATAATAACATGCCATAGTTTTCGTCTTTTAAGAAATCAATAATCACGTTTGTATCTTCATTCACGCAAATGATAAAGTCCAATACCTTAAGTGTCAAATTGACAATAAATACCTCATTGGACATAAATTGATATGGGTTAATACTAAGTCCCGGTGTCTTCGGTACAGCTGTCAATAAGCTTTCAATATTCGTCGAACATCGATCCTTAGTTTTGGCTAATGTAATCAAGTTTTCTTTTATTAGGTCGCTTGGCTTCAAATCACGATTTCTGGCAAGCAAGGTATTGAGCTCGATGTTAACGTTAAATTCAAGCATCGGATGATAGAACCGTGTCATGTCAGTTAACTCTCCTCCATTTTCTGCTAGCAGCAAATATTTCGATACTATGTTAATTATAGTTTTAGGGATATCGGAAGTAAAGATAAAATTTGGTTTATCAAAATCATACTCTGCCTGAAGCTTAAAATACGGTCTGAGTATACTCATACTTTGTCTCAGAGACAACATTTCGAACCAACTTTAAGCACTTTTTAATGGATTTGATATCTATCAGCAAATATTTATTCCGTTATATGTGGTACTATTTATCGGTTCACATTAAGCATCTGTTTATCGTTTTTATAAACAAACAACAAATAGAGATAACCTGCAAAAAATGAATTTTTGGGAGACTTCAAAATATTTACAGGTTGGTGCCATAGTAATATGATTCCCGTTAAAGGCTATTCTTGGGTTAAAGAAACAGAGAATAATACTTCAAATAGAGCATTGATGTCGTCATACTATTTCACAATAATAGGAACCAGAGATAATCCATTGTATGAGTTAGAATTTTCGTCTTTCAAAACTGCAGTGTCAAGTTCAACGTCTACAAGTAACATACCCGGGAGATCGAACTTTCCAACCAGTGTTAAAGAAATCCTACCATTCATATCAAATTCGTCATTAGATTTAATAGAGGACATACAGTGGTCCACCAATCAATTTAGTCTTGGTAAGATTGATTCATTCTACGGATTATTGATTAATGCATTTATAACACAAGGTAATATCAAGTTTCTCTTGTGCTATGATTTGAACGGTGGGAACACCAGTGGCGGAGGATCTAATCTCCAGAGCAAAAATGAAGATAATTCAATTAAACAGTTTTTCACCGAAGCCAATGAACTATACGTTAAATGCTTGTTAAATCCATTTTACTCGGTTAATGATGCGATTACCTCACCCGACTTTGATATGAGGTTGAAAATGCTAGCTAGGAAGTATTTATAGTGTATGATAGAATAAATGTATATTAAATAATATGTACAAAAAGGGTCAACGAGTGATAATATAAAATCAATCTTCGGGTTGTTATCTATGAGGATTCTTGTTCAGATTCCTTCAAAACATTTTCTGTTTCCACTTTGAAATCACCATCCTCAGTTTTAACAATTATTCCTTGTTCTGCCAAGCTATCGAACATATCTTGAGGAACCCATCCACCAGTAGCAGCAAATGGAGTGGACACAATTTCCATTTGATAATTTTCTATGTCCTTTTGGTGTTCATCTAAGTATTCGGCTGTGAAGTCGATTGGAAATTTGGTTTCAGTAGCATTGCACAATTCATTAGCAACGTACGCTTCCCACATTGCTTGTAATTGGACAATAGAGCCTTCGATATACAAGTAATCTTTATCATTCTTGAAATCCAAGGCTTGGACGTAAGGGCTCTTTAAAACTTTAACGTGTGGAGAAGCGACGGCAATCAAATCATGTCTTCTTGAGTTCAATTCAAGCTCCCATAATCTTTCATTTCTGGTCTTATAATACATAAATTGGTATTGCTGCTTTTCAACTTCATCCATTTCCTTGTAACCTGGAATATCTTCTTCCAAATTATAGATCTTAGCACCCTGGTAACCGACAAATGCTGGGTAACTAGATAAAATAAATGGCTTGATGGAGGTGTATTCAAAGTCAACGAAATATGGCTCGTTATTCTTATTGGAATTAAGTATCACATTCAACGGATCCAAATCTGGACAGTATAATCTTGGTTTAAATAATTCTTCAGCATTCATAAGAGATTTAGATTTAGGGTTGAATAATTTTGAACTCATTGTATTCAAATGTTCAAAGGTACTGATCATTTTCTGAATTAAATCGACATCTTCAACTTTACTAGCTGAATCTGCTTGTGCCAAAGCTAATCTATTTCTTAGATTTTCTAATTCAATTCCTGCAACAGATGAGATAGTTTCCAATGGCTTATCAGAATCAATAGACTTATTATATTGATTAATTTCCTTTTCAGATAATTGATTCTTATTTTTTGAAAACGATTTTTCAACACTTGGTCCAATTCTCCATCTCTTTGTGAGTAATGGATTTTCCTCACCGTTGTATGGTAACGTAGATTGATCAGAAACGCTTACATCGTCATTAAAGTACAATGATCCGAATTTATTGAATGTGATTGAAAGTAGCTTCTCTTGGAATGCGGCAATTGGTTCAATAACGGATTTCAATTTTTCTTGAGATCCTTCTGTTTCATCAGCTACTAATGGGTCCCAGTTTTTCATCAATAAATCACCTTCAATAAACTCCATTAAAATAAATGGACTTTGTAAGGAATTCACTTTGTTAGCGCCATAAGCAACAACCTTAGGAACATTTGCACCCAATTTTAAATTTAAGAAATCCATAGTTGCAACCTCACTTTTAATCTTTTGTGAAATTGAGTATTCGGATTCTAACTTATATGGAATTCTCAACACTAATTCCTTTCCAGTGGATAACGTAACTTTATAGATTCTGTTATGCTTACCTTCATGGATACTAACAATGGATTTAACCAATAATGAGTCATCCTTACCGATTAAGTTTGAAGTTAAGTTTTGAGTCAATACATATGATCCATCTTTTATTTGACTGGGAGCTTTGACAAAAGGTTGGCCACTCTTGTCAATGTTTCTTGGATTTTTCAGTTCGACATTCAAGTCTTGCAATAATTTTGTTATACCTTCAATAGAAAATTTGGTTTCTCTTTTAGATTTTTCTGATTGATCATTTTTCATCCACGAACCCCACGTATATTGGAAAAACTGGTGTCTTTTTGGATCTTCGGAATCAGAAAGCTTGGTGTACACCTCATTAGGTTTAGAGTTGAGCGTAGATTGAAACTTTTTAGAAAGCAATGTTGGACTCACTTTTAAAGTAGATGATTTTAATCCACATGAGAGTCTCTTTGGACCCACTCTGGAAGTTAATTTAAGCATCGTCAATTGTGTAGCTAACAATAGTATTTATGGAGATGAAAAATTGTAGTTCAACAAATTTCCTTGAACGCTTAACTTGGGTCATGTGACTATGGCTAAAGTTTTGATTTAATGTACATTTAACTAAAAAGAAACTATAAAGATCTTAATTATATGACAAGCATAATGAAAGAATAACGTATTATCGACGCCTGACATCACCTGGATGTGGTCGCCGCAAAAAAAAAAGCATCCCTAGCCAGATATATAAAGGTGGGATTATTGTTCGTGGTTTATTGGATCAGTGTTCAACAAATTGATTTTTTCGTTTAAAGTTACAGGAGGAATAGAGTTTGGGTACCTCTCAATATTAATGTTCTTTTTATCTTCCGTTTCACCATCAACTTCTGCGTTGGTGCTCTTAATTGAGGATTGCGTGATAGAAACACCATCTCTATCTTGTTCAGCCATTGGCGAATTGGTCATAGAAGATTTTTGTCCATATGGCCTAATAGGTGGACTTGCCATTCCTGAATTCGTGTAGCTATGTTTATTCATATGTTGTGAAGGTGGAGGAGGTGGTGGTGGATACAGATTCGAATTTTGGATCATATTGGCAATTATATTGCTCGAATACTGCGTGGGACCATGTCTATGCAATTTCTTACCTTCAATCCCGTCCTTAGTGGCCGTAGTTGAAAGACACGATGTAGTAGAATTGCGAGACAATGGCCTAGAGTATGATTCAAAGGGACCCAAATTATGGTTCATTTCCTCCATTGATTCAGCACTTAATGCCACATTGGGTGAGTTGACACTCGAGCTCACATAGTTCTGTTGGTAATCGCTCCCCGACGAAACTATTGAAACATTAGTGAACGAATTTTGGTTATAAAACTGATTTTCATTTGTCTTCCCATTAGGCTGCATGCTGGCCAAGGCTTTCAAATTCTTGGAATTGACACTATAATTCGATTCTTGACTAAGCTTTGACGAAATATCATCGTTTTCAATATCATTCTGTGAAAAATTGTCGTAGCTGTTATTATTGGAATATTCATACGGATCTAATTCATCGGGCGTATCTATATTCATCTTCCCACTAAATATAGATTTAACACTAGCTGCTGGATGTGACATTGCTGTGTAACTTGAGCTATTATTTCTATGCTTTAACTTGATCTTTTCAACTAAAGTATTCTACTTTCTTCAACGACTTTATAATTACCGTACTAGTTTCATCATATCAACTAATAGTTCCATAGGAGCTTATAACCATCAATGACCGCAAAACACAATGCTCGCCAGCTGATTACGTAATTATATATTATTCGGTGCAGTTAATTGTTCTATTACAATGTTCGTTATTGCAGACTATATATGGGTTGCTCTATAAAGGGGCAGAATCGGGCCTGGTGAAAAGTGTTAGGAATTGTAGCTAAGCGAGATCTAAACATTTTCCAAGAGTTTTGCAGAAAACAAAGCCATGAATTCGTCGATAACGAGTTTTCCCAGTGAAGTTTGCACCAAATCAAGTTCTGCGAAATAGCTGGCCAGTAAGTTAAGGCCACTTGATTCCGTTGCAATGACTGAAAGGCAAAAATGGGTGAGAATACCATTTGCCTGACTGAACCAGATATTGTCGATGGACCAGTCGTTGTGAGAGATCAGGTGGAGCCCAAGGTTCGATACTTCGAGGGTCAGGCGCGAATCTGCTTTACCGAGTTTATCGGCGAGAAATTTCCAGTAATTGACGTATTTGAGGAGGCCTACGAAACTGAAAGGCGACTTGTCAGCCACACCAGCTGTCAAATTTGCAGTAAGCGAGTTTGTAGAGGAGGCAATATCTGTTATAGGGGCCACTTTATTTGAGAGCACACCCATGTAGAGACCGTATTTGGTGTCCTCTATCTTTTCCGGAAAATATCTCCGACCGTCTATAGGAATACTGATTTCACACGAGCATGGGTGTTTTGCCACTGCTGGAAAGACAGTCTCTTGGAGGGCATACGTAGCAATTGCTGCTATGAATGGAGTCAAGGTTGTATTTTGCGACTTGCAGAATGCACGGAGGCGTTTTACGTCCTTTGGCGTGATGTTAATATGTCTTATATTTGACTCGGCTTCCTTTCTGGTTGTATTATGGGTGTAAAGTGGAGCTTGTTCCACATTGGTCGAAAAAAAAGACCAAAATCCATCATACAACCATTTTGGCAAAAGTATTTTCAGCACAAACTCCAGTAAGGTAAGTAATATGGAAGGATTGTATAAATCAACAATCTTGTCCGAACTGTCTAAAAGATGCGGCAATAATTCCCAATCTGCTGTGTAATTGAACAAAGTTTCCTGTATTTCTAGTGATTGATCCTTAGAATGGTAAGCCAACTCTACAATCAAGTCTTTATGGAATTGTGTGACCGAACTACCATCAAAAAGGGTATGGTCGCAGTGGAATGAAACATATTGCTTCCTATCGGAGGTCGATTCGAACACCTTTACCCTCCATAATGGCTTCGAATCATTAACATGACTCGCTTCTCCATTCAATCTTTTCAATAAAAGCTCCCCAAAGGGTTCTTCTACAGTCTCGAAAGTTACAACATCGTTGAAAGCAATTTCCTCCACTGGCCTCACTGTAAAATTTTCTCCATTCAGTTTTTCATCGTACTTCAGGTCTCCATCTCGGTAAATATTCACAGCCAAAGATGGATTCTTCAAAATAAGTGTTCTAAGTGCATTGGATAACAATACTTTGTCAATATAATGATTATATTGTCCAGTTACGTTTATATCTTTAGAATATTGCTCCACATTTCTACAAACGTAATACTTTTCAAGAAATCCGAGTTTTCTAGTATGATAGTCCTGACTCATTCTAATACCCTCTTAATCAACTTTTAGCTGTTATAGGTTTCACTAAAGAACGTATTTGTACCTCTTCAATAAATTCAATACAATTCTAATTCAGTGTACAATGCTTAATTGAACATATTTTTCATTCTCTATATATTGTTATTCGAATAGGGGGCCTGCCAATTTTCATCGGGTCAGTCACTATTGTCACAGTTTTGCAGCCAAATATAACTCCTATACAAACAATAGCATACTACTTATTATTTATATCCTTATTCTAATTATTATAATGCAAGCACAATTAAAAAGTGTTGAATTGAAACAGGCAATTAATTCCAAACAATCCCAAGCACTTATAAAAGATTTGGTTTCGATTTCGTTAAATTGTATTACATTTTTGAGGAATATATTTAGTGATGAAAACTATGTTGATAAGAAGTTTATTTGCAGTGAAATGCCCCATATTAAGAGTAGTTTTGTCAAAACAAAGCATTTAGTTAAGGGAATTTCAAAAGAAGCTGATATGTTTAAGAGCTGGATTGAATGTGGTGTAAATAATGCTCTCAGTTTGCAATATCTACTGGCGCTCCAATTTGGCATATATGTCGATGAGAATCAGCCAGAAAAATTGAGTGAAACATACATCTTCAAGTTTGATTATAATAAAGGGAATATTTCGTTTGGTATTAACGATGGCGAGAAATGTGAAGCGTTGCCTGAATTGACTGCTCGAGAGAAGGTACAACAACTAATCAAACGATTAATTGTTTTAACACAAACGTTTGGTCCTTTACCTGAAAAGAAACATGTATCAGTAAGATTATTGTTTAATGAAAAGTGCCCTAGGGATTACCAGCCTTCATTCTTTAAGGATGCCTCCGACTTGGAATCTCCTACTATTACTGTTGATAAGGAAAATTCAAATAATAATATTGGTACGCTCGACACAGGTCATGATTACGTGAATATTAGAATTTTAACCAATGTGGGATCACAGATTAAAAACCCAATAAATTTGGATCCTTTTGATGTAATAGAAGAGAGCGATGATAATTCTGATCTTCATAACTTTGATAATCAAATTGATTTCCCTAAAAGTAATAATTCTTTATCATTGGACAAATACTTGTTTTCCAATAAGCCTGATAATGTCCATTCTACTCAGCTAGTTCCTCCATCTCAGCTGTACTATTCTGGGATCTTCAAACTCACTTGCGAATGCAATTGCTGGGCGTCTGCTTCACGTATTAAACTATCAATGAAAGGGTTTGCAATCTTGACTTGTCGTACTTGCCTGAGACAAGTTCATTCGTGCTGCTATGGTTTGAATCATTCCAAATATATAAAACTTTCTGCTCATACTTTCAAATGCTATTCGTGTATGCTAACTAATAATGAGCTTGATAAAGATTTGAAGTTGCTAATGATGTTAAGATACTTGTGGAAACATATATCGTGTTATGGAATTCCTGAACTGACTGGCTTATTTTATGAAATATTTAATTTGACATCAAGTGTCGATGACAATATAGTTCGGAAAATGTCGAATAAACTATTTCATGATAAGATATTAGTTGTATTGGATAAGCCTATTATTGTTAAAGGAAACAAGAATGCAATGGGAACTGGATATTTTACGCCATCTATTAATATGATCCTAGACGACAAGGGAAATTCACTTGTCAAAGATCATACTTATAGCATAGCATTTACACCAATAGTTAAAAATCCAAAGTTAGTATCTCACACTGATAAACAAAGAATTTACATTCCAGACGCATTAAATACAAAAGAACATATCGAAGAGTTGCTAAGTGAATTCAAAACTAGTTCATTCAAGGATCAGGAATTGGACGATGATCCAATAGAATCCAGCAGCCCTATTTTTGATTCAAAATCTTCAAATAAAAAGAAGAGGGAGTTTGCCATATCGGAGGATCAAACTAGAACACATATTGTGAATGAAAACCTATTGGATGAAATGGATGATTTGTCGTTTGAAGATTCGCTAAACTTTCTTTCTCAACCAGTTGATAATCAGGATTTGCAAGCAGTGAATTTTTTACAAAATAGAGTAAGTCAACCGCATATTCTGTCATCTAAAAGAAAGTTTGATAGCAGCATTCCGTCAATAGAGCATAAAGTCAAGAACCGGAAAATTAGTGTTAATGAAGATAAATGTTTCTAATTCTATTTAGACCATTCAGGAGCTGGTCAATTACTATCTTAATCATCAAATGACTGATTAGCCGTTTATAGTAAAGAATATATGTTCTTATAAGTAATGCATGTTTCTTAATTCGTGGTTCATTACTTTTTACAAATTTAGTATTTTTGAAAGCAAAATTTGCAGTAAGTGAGTAATCAAAAAATAATACGAGGAGGTCAAACCTACAAAGCTTAATTAATTGTGTTGGAACTGTAAGATATATAGAAGCGATCAAATACTAACTGTACCAGCTTTCATAGGTTGAATCTGTTCCATTAAATATACATGTATAGCTCAAATGAATGATTATATACGTTTACTGCCATTGCCATTTTGTGTCATTTAAAAATTAGTGATGAGACAACTGTTCTTATAAGTAAGTGAATTTGTTTTAACTAGCAGAGAAAGAATATTTTCCGTAGAATTATAAGAATGGTGTCCAATTTAGTTATACCGGGAGATAGTATTCTAAAGGATACTAAAACAACCAAAACCACAATAGGGCCGGGTATATATAAGAACCCTCAAACTCAAGAAATAATTCCAGCTTCAGCTGGGATATTGAATGTTAAAACTAATAAGCAAAATACAAATACAGTCATATTCACAGATTCTAATTCAAAAAGATACATACCGCAAACCAATGACTTTGTTATTGGTATTATTGTAGGTGTTTTTGGTGAAAGCTATAAAGTCCAGTTGCAGTATTTTTCCACGAGCGTTCAATTATCAATGATGGCATTTCCTAATGCCTCCAAGAAAAACAGGCCAAATCTAAAGACTGGACAAGCAGTGTATGCTAGAGTATCGCAAGCAATTCCGGAAATAGACACTGAACTCGAATGCATTGATCCTATTACTGGTAAGGAAGGTGGATTTGGATTATTGGATGAATCAGGTTACATTTTTAATATTAATTTAAATTTTGCTAGAGAGTTGCTATTCAATCAAAGTTCCATCTTCCTTGAAAAATTATCTACAAAATGTAAGTTTGAAATTGCTATTGGAATAAACGGTAAAGTTTGGTTAAAATGTGGAGATGGTATCAAACAGACCAACGAAGCTGAAGATGATGAAAACGAAAAGACCTCAGATTCAGCAAGAGATTTGAAGGCTACATTAGCAGCTTGTAGATTTTTGACTAGGTGTCAGCACATAAATCCTAGTCAAGTGGATATAGAATTGAAAGAAGCCTTTAAACATTTCTAATGTTTCTATTGCTATTATTCTATAGTTTATTTTGCTGCATTCAATGTCTACATAGCATTGTATATATAGGTATATATTTGTATTATAGAATCAACTCCATCGATGTTTATAATGCGATGCGATCACGTGCGAAGATGTGAAAAGTTAAAAAATTCCTATGAACTTAGTCGTAAGTACTCTTCGATAGTTCCAAAACTAGAAGAATTAAGCGATGCCAGAAGGTTCATTAGATAAAAACCAGCTCGCTAGACAGCGGAAAAAGATTGAAAAGGATAGAAGAAGAAAACAATATGATGATTTACAGGTACAGGGAACAAATAATTCATCAATAGTATCGAAAAGATCAGTTGAGATGATTTACACGTCAAAATTGAACCCTGAAATGGGAGAATGGTTCAAATATTTTGTAAAAAAGCCAAAAAGAAGATCCCCTGCTATTAATAGAGGATATTGGATAAGAATGGAATCGATTAAGCAGATGATATTGAGAATAATTGACTCTAGAGAAGATGCTAATCAAGAAGTGACTATTGTCAATTTGGGATGTGGCTTTGATCCGTTACCGTTTCAGCTTTTAACCCAATTTGCAAAGACTAATACTGATGTGAAATTGCACTTTTTAGATGTTGATTATCCTGAATTAATTGCAAACAAATTAGAAATGATTAAAAGCTCGCCCGAAATTTTGTCTATATTAGGGAAAGAAGTCAATGATACTTCAATCGAGAAATCAGTAGTACCATTTATGACTGAAAATTATAAATTAGTTGGATGTGATTTAAAAGATGGAAACTTATATAAACAACAATTGAATCGTTTGCTAGGCGATTCTCCATGCATTAAAATATTTGTTGCAGAAGTGTCGCTAGCATATATGAAGCCAGAATATGCAAATCCTATAATAGAGCACTCGGCTAAATTGGATAATTCACATTTCTTAATATTGGAGCAGATCTTACCTGCTGGTGAATCCCATGCATTTGCACAAAAGATGTTATATCATTTTAATCATTTAAGAAGTCCGTTACAATGCGTTCAGACATATCCTTTGAAGACCGATCAGGTAAATCGTTTCAAGAATTACTATCAAAATGTTGAAATCAAAGATTTATTTGAGAATTGGAAATTTCTCATTGATGATCAATTAAAACACAAGATAAAAGACATTGAAGAATTTGATGAATGGGAAGAGTTTATAATATTTTGCCAGCATTACGTTATTGTACACGCTACTAACAGACCAGTGCTTATTTACGACGACAAACCAATTGCACGAGGAGAACTTGACGAACCGTCTACATTAGTTAACGTTTCTTATCAAGACTCGAATGATTCAGAATTATTAAAATCAAAGTTTGCAGCCATCACAGGTGTAGGTGATGAAGTTTTAATCAATGGTGGTTTATTTCAAACTCGTACGGGACAAACATTATCATTAAAAAAAGGCCACCTTGAAGTCAAAACGGTCCAAGGAGATGAGCCAGGGCCTAGAATGTGTCATACATTAACAGCGCTTAATAACAGTGAGTCAATATTAATTGGAGGGAGGTCCAGACCTGATCAGTACTTTCTGGATGTTTATAAATTGGATGGAGAAAACTGGACCCAACTACAAGACTTGCCAGAGAAGAGGTCAAGACATATTACTGTGAAGTTATCCGGCAAAGATATATTGATATTTGGAGGTTTACAAGAAAACTCTAAAGATATGGCTACTAAACTATTCTTAGTTTATAATTGCGAAAGCCAACAATACAAATCGTTGAAAATTGAAGGCTCTATTCCTAACTTATTCAGTTGCTCTATGGTCTACAATGAAGAATTGGAGTTTGGACTTATACTAGGTGGTATGGTAAATACAACTATTCCAACAGTTAATGACTGCTTGTACAGATTTGTTATTAAAGAAGATACAATCGTAGTGGACGTCATATATCAACATTCATACCTTCTGAGAATATCATGTCAAAGCAAATTATTCTCTGACAATAAATTGCTTATTATAGGCGGTGTATCGCCATTGGATATTTTCAATCAGCAAAATACCATTCTTCTTTTTGATATAATAACTTCCAAGTTACATCCAATTGAAATTGATCGTGATATTTGGGTAAATCATCCCCCAATTTTTATCGGCTTTGGAAAAGCCGAAATTGGGAACTCTGTTATATGTCTCGGTGGTGGTGCTGTATGCTATTCATTTGGTAGTTGCTACAATGGCATCTATAAATTTGATTATTATCCGAATAACTAGGATCAGAACTCTTCCGTTCCGATATGGTTTATATGAATAACTTACATGTACATAGATTCTTCGATTTATCATAATTTTAAGTCCTTGGGTTCAAGGCATAAATCAATCCCCTTAACTTAAGGTGACATATTCCGTTGTAAAAGTATAGAGGTACAGAAATACCTTTACCGTTTAAAAGTAAATATTAGTTGTGTGATAGTTATTTACATTACTACAAATTTACTAAGCGAATTTTTTGCGGCTAAGTGGGAAAGCAATAATTTATAACACATTTGAGGATTAGTATATATATCTTATTGAAATTTTACAGTAGAAGTTAAACCTGTTCGTCTTATCGTCCATTTACAATGTCAATCGACAGGGACGTCAGAGACGGAACTGACACAAGTAAAATTACTAGTGATAACGGAAGTTTCGCATGCAAAAAGTCCGGAACTAACACTGAAGCAGATGTGAATAATAATACACACAAAGGTGAAAAACATCAAGGATTTCCATTTAGACCTAGCCTTCTCAAAGAGGATAACAAGAATCTTTTATCCTTAAAATTTATAAACAAACCCAGCCGATCTAGCGATTTATTTGCTCAGGCTTCGGACCCTACGCGTGCTAATAGCATTTTGAACTCACATATATCAAACGAATCTGCCTCTGCAAGCGAAGGAGACACAGCAGATACATCTCCCAGCAATGAGAACTATGAAAATCACGGATTAGTACGGAAGAAATCTGGCGAGTTTTTAAGACTGTCTTTAAAGGATAGTCGTAATTCGTATTTTGATGAGAAAAGATCGCGTTCCTTACCAACTACCCCAACTTATAAACAAGTCCATTTTGGTGGGGACAATGATATTCGGTATTTCAAGAAGAAAGATAGACCGACCGCCATTTCTGCGTCGAATTCTCCCACTTTGCGAGGTGTGGAGGGTAGTTTTAAGAGGCTTCAAGTAGGTAGTGATGATGAAGATGATGAAAATGATGAAAATGACGATGATGATGACTATGAAGATGATTACGCAGATTTGGACAGTGATCACGATTATTTCACTCTTGATTTGAGTTCGTCAGGGTCCACCACTTTCCCTGGTGCCAATAATGATAAGTCGGTATCTTGGGATTTGCAACTTCCAAATTTTCCACCATTATCTTATGATAATCAAATAAAAGTCCGTAAGTCACCAGTATTTTTGGAACGTATATTCATCAGTGTTGATAAGAAGTTCTTACTAGGACATATCGCAGTTAAGAATATAGCATTCGAAAAGTCGATTACAGTTAGGTATACTTTGGACAATTGGTGCACAATTGTTGAAATTCCCACAATCTACGTTCCTGATATTCCTCAAATATTAAAATCCAATAATTATGATAGATTTATTTTTCGAATTCCGTTGGATTCCTTATTTAATAGCTTCAGGATGCCGGGAAATAAAGTTCAGAATGGTAACAAATCTCAAGAGCAGCATTATAGTCTTTGTATAAAATATAATGCCAGTTCTCTAGAGTTCTGGGACAATAACGATTCGAAAAATTATGATTTAATCCTACTTAAAATAACGAAAACGACAAGATCAAGTATCTCCAAGATCGGGGCGCATAATAACAAACCTAAATACTCGTCGTCGTATTTAAAGAGAAGATCATCAGATTCACAACTAGAAATGCAGCCAAAGAAAGCAGAGGATAGCATAGAAAGTAGTTCATCTGATTTTTCAAATAGTAATGATTTTGTCAATAATGATTTTTATTTACTGTCACCATTGTTATCAAGCCTTAACAATTCAAACTATGAAAACGATTTTCTACATAATTATTCCACTGATACATTAACCTCATATAGATCACCTTCAAAGAATTTTTCTCACAGTCAAGATGAAGTATACGATTTGAATCGTAACGAAGAGGATTTCAAGTCCAGAGAAGATGACAACTCTTTCAGAAATAATATGTTGGACACTAAATCTTATAGGGAATTACTTGATACATATTGCTTTTTTTCAACAAGCCCTGAAGATGATACCAATTCTTCTGATGTTTTACTGACTAATTCTCCGCCAAAGAGTTCATCATCCACGAATTCAAATAGGAACGAAAAGTCCAAAGAGTCTATGTATATTGCTGAATCAGATGGTGATATTTCAGTACCAAAAAATGATATGTCTCAAAAAGGACTTAATTCTAGTAAAGAAAAGTCCAACAGAAATAACAATTCTCTAACAGTATCATCAATCTTAAGGGCATAGGCACTGGCTGTTTAAATAGTTGGCTGTTTTCTTCAACCGTTGTATTCTATTGTTTTCTCTTGTTAATTGTCTTAATTATAGAATTATTAGCTAGTATTTTTCTCATAGCATTTCATTCTTTCTTTCAATTCCAAACATGTTTTATAGATCCTTGAACTTGTTTCTACATATATGCTTAATATCAAATATTCTTGTTATATTGTTTAAGACTATCTAAAAATAATAATATAAAATAAAACAAATAGCTTAGAAGCTAGAATTCCTTTTAAATTATAGCCGTACGTATTCATTTATTTAATCAAAGCAGTACATTTTAACACACCCATTTTCTAAAGCAGCCGCAAACCTCGAATCACTTAAACCAACACAACTAACAATCGAATTACTTCCAAAAGTATGTAAACATTTACCATTTTGTAAATCCCAAACCTTAATTAACCTGTCATGGGCACCACTGATGATCCTAAATGTATCAGCACTAATAGACCACACTCCTTCAATGTGGCCAAATTGAGTTCTAATGCACTTTCCAGTTCTGACATCCCAAAGTTTAATGGTGTTATCAAGTGATGAAGTTAATAAATGTGTTGGATAATTCTTATTGCCAGGTAATTGAATATTATTTATCTCTTCATTTTGTAAATCTTGATTAGAGTTTAAATCATTACTGGTTGAATCTCCATTATTTTCCGTATCACTCTCATTATTATCTTGAATTAATTTATCTTTATAAATTAATGGAATCACACATTGGACATGTCCCAAATGCCCGTTATTCTCAACACCCCCAAATATACGCAAACATTGATTGTTTTGTAAGTCCCACATTCTAATGGTAGTATCATCAGAAGCACTGAACGCTGTATTTGATAAAGGATGAATTTTCACTGAATTGACCCAGTCCGTATGTCCTCTTAGTGTGTAACATGTTCTTGAATCAACATGCCATACCTTCACCGTGTGATCAGCAGAACCGGAAACAATTGTTTTATTCAGAAAATCAACACTGACAACAGCTGCGTCATGGCCTCTATATGTTGAAATACATTCACCAGTATGGTAGTTCCATACCTTTATCGTTGAATCCAAGCCTCCAGTGATCAATTTCTGAGAATCAAACACTAACGATCTTATTGGCTGTGTATGTCCAGTCAAAGTTCTCAAACACTCACCAGTTTCCACTTTCCATATTTTAACAGTATTATCATATGAACCAGTCATAAGATATTTTCTATTAAATTGCAAGCACGTAACACCATCTGTGTGCCCTTCAAATGTTTTGATTTTATATATTCCCTTACGCCAATTCTTTTCCAATTTAAATCTTTCGCTATAGACCGATTTCCATGGCCTTTTCTTCAAGAGTTTCCGTTGTTTGTCCTGTTCATCACGTGTAACCTTCATCCTTTTAATCTCTAATTCCACCTCCGAACTGTTAGAGCCATTTGATGACTCCACATTCTCAAGCTTTCTCTTTTTGTTGTTATATTCATCGTAATTCATATTTCTCGCTCTTTGCATATGCATTAATGGTAATCCCCATCCACAATTTGGACACTTTCTATCGATGTGCTGTTCACACATGTGGTGCCACACCCGATCATCATCAGCAAGACATTTCCATTTTCTCGATACCTGTGCCGCATTACATAAAGATGCACAATCAAGGTAACACAATATTTTTAGCGATATTTCCATTGGCAAGGTAGAAATGAAGTCTATCTTAATTAATGAGCTTACCTCTTGCGATATAAATGATAATTGGGGAAAACAGCATTGGCTTAACAAACCTTGTAATATCAACGATCTATGTGGGTCAGGTGCGGCGCTGAAAATTGACCATACATGATTTATGGCTTCTTGGTCTCTCGAAGGCAATTTCTCCATTTGTTTCTGTATTTTCTTCATCTTGACTTCGTCAGTTTGTTTATTACACGTCACATCCGGATTATGTCTGTAGCAGTACCGATGAAAATTATCCTTGGGTATCATGGACTGATCGCTAATATGCTTCACCAAAAATGGTGTCACCACCGAAACTTTACTCTCTGGATGCGATGGTTGAGCCACTGTGCTGATTTCTCTCACATCCTCACTATTCCCACGACTTTGATTATTATGCTCATTAGTACCCACAGAGCCATCTCCGCTCTCATTACTAGACAGATACTGCTTGCTTGGTAATACACTGTTGGAAAGTATATTGTCGAAACTCTCAGTAGTCGAGTACAGCAGTGGCGTCTGGTGCTCGTATTTTGTATCCTTAGGAATGCAAATATCTTGTAAATTCATCTCTTGTATCAGTCTCACTCCCGACTCCTTATTATCAAATTATCTCTTACTTTATGCAAATAAAGCCTTTCTAGTTTATTGTCTAAAATTATCTCCAAAATTAACCTTAATAGTACCGGCGCAAACTAATGGTATTTTGCTCTCGAATAAATACTTTCTTAAGAAGCAGATTAATCCACTGAAGGTTATGTATGACCTATCTCGAGCAATTATTGACTATATATACAAATAAATACCAACAAATGCTAGAAAATACTAACAAAGCATACAAAATCTATTGATTTTCTGTGGCATCAGACAACTGCGTGACTTGTGACACAAAATCGCCACCATAGTTATGATTGTCCAAGACGGTCTATAATGCAACCATCGATGACCTCATGCTGCGAACCTGACTTCACTAGAGAAAAAGAGCCGTACTGTGGAATACGGACCGGTGTAACTCAAATAATCCTGGTTGCATGGCCCTTGCCGTATCTAATTAAGGTTGGTGTCGCGGTCTTTTGTGGCATTATAGAATGCGATTCGGTATGGCATCAATTACGACTTACTCTATCTTTCTGAAATAATGGATCCAGAGGTTATACGTGACGCATCGTGTGCATTGCTTCTATCGGACTACGGGGTCAAGCTAATCGTGTTTCGGTAAATATGTGGCTACAGATGGTCGCATTCTTATATGCTGGGGTGCACCATAATTGTGTTGGACAAATAACAATATGGTTAGAAGAGGGATCTATTTTGGTCCTGAAGCTGGCCATATGACATGTTCTGCCCTGGGCCTGCTACTTCAGGTTATGCCCAGGATGTAAGAAGTTTGGTACGGGCAATTGACGATTTTCACGTGACTTGCTTACTAAAATTTTTTTTTCAATCTTCACGATGTAAGATGAGCTTGGATCATTCTAGAAGAGTGCTTTCTTCGAAGTATAAAGGGAATGAAAAGACCAGAAGAACTAGGTTCGAGCCAAGAGGAGAAGAAACAACGTTTGAGTATGTCAGAAGAGAACAAAGAACTTTTCTCCAATGTGGGAGAACAAGTCGGAAATATGCCATCGCAAGACGGTGTTAGCCAAACCGGAGCAGCAGATGCTGAGGGACACCCAGTTCAAGAAATTGAGTCAATGTGTATGAACTGTCACAAGAATGGAACTACTCGTTTGTTATTGACGAGAATTCCGTTCTTTAGAGAAATCATTATTATGTCATTTGAGTGTCCACACTGTGGATTCAAGAACTCAGAAATCCAGCCAGCAGCACAGATTTCCGAAAAAGGATCTCGTTATGTGTTGAAATTAGAAGATAAGAAGGACTTTAATAGACAGGTTGTCAAGTCTGAAACTGCCACTTGCAAGTTCAATGAGTTAGATATTGAGATTCCACCCAAGAGAGGGCAATTATCCAACATTGAAGGGATATTAAATGAGATGGTATCTGATTTAGAATCAGACCAAGCTGCCAGAAAGGAGCTTCAACCAGAAGTATACGAGAAAATCAATGAAGTCATTACTAAAATCAATTCTTTCATTAATGCGGAACCAAATACATTACCTTTGACCTTTTCTGTCGATGATCCAGCTGGTAACTCGTGGATTGAATACCTTCCAGATGAGCCATCTCATAAGTGGTCAATGTATGAATACAACAGAACTGCTGAGCAAAATGTCTTTTTAGGATTGATTTCGGCTGATGAAGTTGCCCAGCACCGTAAATTGGAATCAGAAAGTAAAAAAGCTGCAACTGCTACGAATGTGTCGTCATCGTTGGCCAATAATCCTAAGACTTCGGGATTCATTTCTGATGCTAGTGAAATTGAAAACTTAGAAAATGAAGTGCAAACTTTCCATGCTACTTGTTCCTCATGTCTTAAGTCCTGTGAAACTCACATGAAAACTGTTAATATTCCTCATTTCAAAGAAGTTATTATCATGTCTACGGTATGTGATAACTGTGGTTATAAGTCCAATGAAGTCAAAACCGGGGGTGAAATTCCTCTTCATGGTAGAAGAGTCACCTTAAAGGTAAGTGATCCAGAAGATTTGGCTAGAGATATTTTGAAGGGTGAATCATGCGGTTTAAATATTCCTGAGTTAAATCTTGATTTAACTCCAGGTACCTTAGGTGGTAGATTTACAACTATCGAAGGTTTGTTAACACAGGTTTACGAAGAATTACATGGAAGAGTATTTTCGCAAACGTCAGACTCCATGGATGATTCTACCAAAACAAGGTGGACAACTTTCTTCGCTAGATTACAAGATGCCATTGAAGGAAAAATTGGATTTACGGTGATCATGGAAGACCCATTGGCTTCGTCTTATATCCAAAATGTTTATGCACCAGAAAACGACCCTAATATGGTCATTGAAGACTTTGAAAGAACCCACGAACAAAATGAAGATTTAGGTTTGAATGATATGAAAACAGATTAATTATATAAAGTAAAAAAGTGTATATTAGAAATTATAAATAATCTCTTGAATGAATTTCTATAAGTGTGATATAAGTTGTTTTTTAGTCCTCTTTATTTGCTTCCTTGTTTTTTTCAGTTTTCCTGTCAGATTTAACTTCTCTGAATGCCTCACCCCATTCGGAATTCTCTAACGTTTCGCCAAGATTTGAAAGGTCTATCAAAGAGACGTTAGCTAATGCATCATCATCTATCTTAGCAGAATTAAGAAATGGCGATATGTTAATGGCATCTTCAATTGGACTTGAAGGACTAGATCCTAATTTTGAGTGAGATGATGGTATTTGAATATATAACTTAGGTGGGGATTCTGTTTTGTGTTGTTTTCCAGGAGAATCATGATTGTGTGTCCTATTTCTGGAATTATAAATATGCAACGGTGATTTTGGAACATAGATCCCACTTGCTGTTCCTTCATTTTCATTTTCGTCATCCTCCATAAACCCTGATGATTTTGTTAAAGGAAAGGTCTCATCTTCTTCATCGTCATATGCCTCATAACTGTCGTTGGTATCAGTAACAAATATAGAAGGAGCATTTACTTCTAAGTTTTCGTTAGCTAAATAACTATTCCTTTTAAGGCCTTTACCGAAATCTATATCAGTATCCCTTATACCTTGCTTTTTATTCTTCACGTATTTCCAACGACATGCATACGCAGCGATTGTTTCGTACACTCTTTTTGTATGTAATCTTTTCTCAACTTTTTGCACTAAGAGACGACGATCTAAGAAGTCAATTAAATTAAGACATTGGCCAGCCTCAAATGACGTATACAATGGTAATTGCAAGATAATTTTGGTAAACGAAATTCCAGGGTCTCCACTAAGTTCCATATTCATAATAGCTTCTTCCATGAACCTTTCATATAATTTACGTCTCTCTTTAATTCTGGGTACATCCATCAAATTTAATATTCGATCAATTTCCTTATAGTTGACAGTTACATCATAAGGATCATCTTTGTTATTTCGTTTAAACCACTGACGACATAAAACGGGAATTTCTAGTGAACCTGAATAAAAATGAAAGGCTAAAGCGCCATCCAATGAATGTAAAAATTTAGGTAAATCAAAGGGCCTGATATAACCTGATCCTTCTGGATCAAATTTTTGCCAAGCCCTTTTGAACTTTCGAATCTCCTCCCGTTTAATTAAATGACTGTAGGAGGATCTGTTATTAATATAACTGAAACTATCAATAATCAATGAAACGAACATATTCAAAAATATGTACATTGATATCACATTCCACAGCATAAATAAGATATAAGCATATTGGCTATTACCACAATCACTATCATCTATACCATTAACTGATGAGCAGTATGGCTCAATTAATGTAAAATCTGCCATAATATAATTCCAGCCTTCTCCAAAACTGCACCTAAAAAGTACAATTAAAGCCTTCGGTACTGATCTTAAGTTGATATTATTAGATGTATTTGGTCCTACTTTCGTTAGACCAAAAATTTGATTCATTGCAATAGCAAAGACCAAAAAAACAATAATCCATGTGAACGATAAAGAAATTAATGTGGGTAAACTAGCAGAAGCAAACCTCAATAATTCACTTAATCTATTACTTCTAGGAATAATAAATGTTAAAATACCAACCAAGAACAATTTATTAAAATTGAGGAATGCATTTTGCGAGTCAACAAAAAATGAAATAATTGTAGTTAAGAATGCCCCTGAAGAAATAAAAAGATTAAAAATATTCCATTTATATCTTATGAAAGTTCTAGGACCTTGTCCTATAAGTAACATAACCGCATTAATCAAGAACAACAGAGCTGCGATCATATAAATCACAGCTCTGAATACATCCAATCCATCGTATGAAGGATAACATTCTAATAACAAAGCTAACACATGCATGAACAAAACAAAATTCAAAGTTTCATGCCAATATGTATTTCTTTCTACAGTCATAGTATAGCAGAATTTCTGAAATAATGATAACAGGTCGAAGTCCTTTCTCTTCGAAGGTCTAACCTGCACTAAAAATTTCTTAACCTGATACCAAGAAATTTGGTCCTTTGTCATATATGCTCTTCCTGTGGTCTTGGAATAGTTACTTATAATAACCGAGACAAATAATGTCAAAATAAACACAATACTCGTAAAGTTAAATAATACAACAAAAAATCCATTAAATGGAGATGCAAAATCTTCCTGTGGTGTGCCTATACCCGTACTTTTCATAACGTCCAATAATAAATCAACCCATCCCTCTAATGAAATGATTTGAAATAACGATGAGAAAGAATTCCCAAAATTATCAAATTCTAAATAGGGATTAGTATAAACATTAGGACTCATCACGTTCCAGTTGAATACTTCATTCTCATATTCATGTATACAACCAGATTCATAAGATTGATTGTCAATACAGTATCCTAATCTTCCATTGAAAATGTTCAAGCCCCAAATAGCAAATGGAAATAATAAACAAAGAGAAATGATCGCAGCGTTAATGATTTTCCAGAATCCAGAAATAATAGTATTATGAAAATTATTTTTTGCAGTTTCACTAATAGTCAAAAGTCTTAAGGCTCTTAAGGCTTTTAATCCTCTGACAATTCTAGATAAGTTCCCGTCATTTTTTATCGTAGCAATAAATTCAACCCACAACGAAATTAATACTATTAAGTCGATGAAATTCCAAGATGATCTCAAATAGGCGTTAGGAGTGAATATCAACCCATCTGCGATAATTCGAATAAAGAACTCAATTGTGAAAAGTGAAACAAATCCAATTTCAAGGTAAAATGTGAAATTCATGTAGCCGTATTTGGAAACCATTTCCCTTCTGAATAAGGGAGTAAGATAACACGCAGTTACAACCAATCCTATTGTTGCTAAAAACATTACGATTATGAAAGTTTCAGAAACTGTTTTATTTGGCTCAACTCCGTCTATTCTTTCACCAAAACTAGATTTGACAAGTCGCTGACATATCCTTCTTAATCTATGACGTGGTCCTAAAACATAAAACACGCTATTGAATCTTGGATTTTCTTTCAAAAATTTATTCTGTTTTGATATAAGTATATTTCTTTCTGAAATAATATTTTGCGCAAAATGAGCTGGATCGAAATTGGAGATTTCAGTTTTATTACTCTTTGATGCATAAAATGGGTTTCTAAAAAAGCTAGTTGTACGCCAGTAATTTACTTGAAACCATCGCTTCCAGGAAGATTTGGGCAAATTCTTAATTTCAGAATTATCAGCTATATCATTGTCATCTGCTTCTGTCTCCAAGAAATCATTAACCGCAGTACCACTCAAAAGTAAATTAACAACAGCTTTTTCCAATTCATACTTAACACCTCTTTTTCCAAAAATTTTATTCTTCATTTTTGTCAACATTCCAGGTTCATTTTCCAAGTTTTGCAATCTTTCTGTCATGTTGTCAATAAATTGAATTAACTGCTGTTTTCTCTTGCCTTCTTCCGAGACTTCCAAGGTTTTAGCAATAACAGCAATAAAAATATTTAAAATAACCATATTAGATATTATAAACCATCCAATTAAAAGCATTGCACCAAAAGCTCTTGAAGAGGTTGTCGAGGAGTACTCTTGCAAATAATACAACACATCAGTCCAATTTTCAGTTGATGTTATGACATAAAGAGCAATAAAAGCATTTGGGAGAGTATCCATCGGAAAATCAATATCATCAAGGTCAGACTCCGGTATGGTGCCTTCAAAAAACCTAGAAATAATAATACTGGCTAGGTAAGTAAGAATGAAAAAGAACAATGCCAAGTCAAAAATTGCTTTGAAATTACCCATTATTTTCAACCAGAGTTTTCTGGTAATATTCGTTGCTAAAACCACTCTATAGAATCTCAATAATTGAAAAAAGGTTAACCAGTAGTATGCATGACCTAGTTTTTTCTTAACTGGTCCGATTATAATAATTGTAGTAATAACGGCTAAGAATAAATCAAAACAGTTTCTTCTGGATATAAAAAATAATCTCCAGTTTGGGAAATGAAACGCAAGACGAAGCACTATCTCCACAAATAGTATACCTGTAATACTAGCCTCAAATCGATATAAAGTATGACGCCTATGGTCGTCCATATTGAAATCACGAAAGCATTGAGCGAATAAACTGACAAAGATAAGAATAACAAATATGAACTCAAATTTATAATAGTACTTTAAGAATATATTTTGTTTCTTAAGCAAATTTACCCGTTCTGTGTGCAAGGATACTTCTTGGTTCACTGAACCGAAAATCCTCCATTTCTTCTTTCCATTTTTCCTCTGTTTCTTCTCTTCGGCAGCCTCCATTCTAGTAATAGTAAAAGATGCGACAATTACAGCAACAAATACATTGATTAACCAAACTGTTAAAATAAAGATAGCAAATATGAAAAATAAACATGCAGCCATGTTATCTGAGTTCATTGTGTCATACATTAAATCTGTGAAGGTATTAGCACTCATAATAACAAACACTAATTCCATTGATTGAAGAATATTATCAAAGTTTACAGTTCCGCCATAAGGATTTTCTCCACTTATACATTTAGAGTACTTAGGGCAAGTGAACCCTTTTTTAGTACTTGAATGAAGCCCGTCTCTTTTAATATATGGTACAGCTTTTCCATCTAAATCTATGTATGACCCACAGTACTGTCCCTCGTTAATGTAAGTATCATTTGAATCGTCGGGATTAAACCAGACACATTGTCTTGTAAAAGAAGATTTGAATGATTGGACACCAATAATTCCAAAGAATAACCAAAAGCAGCAAATAAAGATTGAAACATCAATTAACTGTGGAATAGCTATTTTACAAGCTGTCAAAATAGTTGTGGTACCAGTAGTCAAGTTACACAATCTTAAAATTCTCAAACAACTCAAAGATCTAAAGAGCATGATATGATGTTTACTATCATATTGATCAATCGATAAAAATAACGAAATCCAAAAGAATATCATCGAAAGAAAATCTATTCTATGCCAGCTATTTCTTAGGAATGCTCTTTTTAAATGAAGTTGATCAATATTTCTTCCTCTTGATTTTGGTAATAATAGAGTGTTCTTTGCATCGAATTTTTGGGAATTCAAAATAGGTTCGTCAACTAAATCCAGACTATCACTATCGTGTTCTTCAAAAATATTGGTAGATGTCTCATTATGCAAATTAGTATCGCTGTATTTTTTTTGGATACTCATAGATGGATCCACGAATGGATTACTAATTTTATGTTCTCGTGTATAAGTATTCGTAGGCTCTTCTTCACCAAGATTGATCTCTTTAACGTCAATTTCTTCGTTTGAATCATTCATGGCATCGATCGAATCCTTAGTATGGTGCGATACAATATTTTTGCTATCACCTTTTTTTGGTGCCATTCTCGATAATCCAAATGCGCGTAAAAAGGCTTTGATATATTTCAGATTAAAGTACAGATTCTTTATGTCACTTTCAGGATAAATTAAACCCAACTCCTTATACATAGCACGATCGTCAATAAAACCGTATGCAATGATCTTGCTGAATACTTCAATCGTATAAATTACGTTAATCACAATCAAGATATAATCAGCCCAATTATATCCTGCGTAATAATAACCACGTAGATGTATGGGATTCCATTGCCTGTATGAAAGTAAAGCAGTTTGCAAAACTAACAAAACTAATAGAAATAAATTGGTTGAACTATGAGATAAAACTCTATGGCAAAGTAAACGTAAAGGGGATTGTGGAGAAAAGATTTTCAAAGATTTTCCAAAAAAGTACATGGTTCTAGTATCAGTATATTTACCTTTTTCAGGTAAAATACGTACATTGTTATCTTCAGTGCGTAATCTCTGTGGAGATATTTGCAGTAATATTGGTTTAGGTGAGGATGCAATGGGTGATGTTTGTGGTTGGTCATTTCGCAAGGAATCAGTACTCAAATACGAATCCTTATTTAAGAAGAGCCCAAGTCCCTCTGACGCATTTGCCCCTTGAAGAAAGTTTTCATTTTGAAATTCATCTGTCACAGTGACATCTGGTAAAAAATGCGGAACACTAGAATTGGTATCTGACCCATTATTATTATTATTAGATCCCGAATCAGACCCGTAGTGTGAAAACAGAGTAGTTCTACTCATTGGAGAAACCGGGGTATTGCCTTCACTATAAGTACTCATACGTCTATGGCTCTTTGATGGAGATGTAGTAGTGGGTGAGGTACCTGCCCTATTTCCTGCAATACGATCTGATAACCTAGTAAGTACGTTTGATATTTTTGAATGCGATGGAGCCGACCCTGAAGTTGGGGTTAAGTGACCTGCCTCCAAAAGGTCGGGATTAGCATTATCACTAAAACTAAATGCCCTGTCTGAAACAGGTGTGCTAGGGTCATAGTGGTGTTGGTGGTGTGTTGGATCATCAAATGGGGATAAATGTGCCGTCCTATTGTTGTCTCCATTGAACGGGTTAGATAGCCGTTTATTTCTCAAATTATCCAAATGAATCGTGTCAGTGTACCCTTCCTCTGCTGGAGGTATAAGATCTTGTGAGAGATTATCCAATGACCCATTCTGGGCTTTATCTGACCCCGAATTAGGGTCAGGTGTTACAGGAAACCAGTTAGCCCCCGAATCCGCCGTTCCTAATGCAAATCCCAATCCTTCCTTTAATGCTTCAAAATTATGCTCTTGTGCAGCCCTATTGATAAACGACGTTTCTTCTATTACAGGCGTATTGGGGCCCGATGTATTATGATTACTTTGCATTCTCAACAATAAACTTTCGTTCGATCTACCTGTAGAAGAGGTTGCTTTCATCAACGGCCGCCTTCTCTTTGAGCTCACTTCTCTTCTAAATGACCGGTTGCTTTCCGCGTCGTCTATTGATGGCAGCTTTAAAGACGTACTCCCTACGTCAACCATTGATCTACTTCCATTTCCTTCTAGCGAATCCTCGCTGGGTGACCGTACATGTATATCTGGATACGAATATCCTATTCCTTGATCCATATTGGTCAATTATATCCCAAAGGTCCTGATTCAATAAATATGAAACCTCAAATTTAATGCCGGTTTTTAGTCAGTTTTTATATAAATAACCTTTTTATTGACCTAATCACTAGATCCTTATGTCTATGTAATATAATTTCCGGTGAAATAACCCTTATCTATCTGTGCCTGAAAAAATTCTAACTTTCTATATATAACTCCAAACCTCACTTAATAAGAAGAGGCTTGTAGATCTTCTCTAGTGATTTTGTGTCATGTTCCATAAAAAGGTCACTAAACGCTTGATCGAAGCCACTTCTACGAGTCAAATTTCCTGGTGCTACAAGGGGGTGCCAAGCATTATGGTCTACGTACACATTTATACCTTTGAGGAAACCCCCGTCTCCAAGGGTTTGTCTGATAAAGACTATCATCATGTCTCAGTAGCGAAATTGAGGACACCTGTATAACCTGTAATATTCTGAAGCATTTTTATGTTTACAGATTATGTTGTGCTTATGTAATCAATGATGAAAATTGAAAAATACTCAAAGGACACTAGTGGAAGAAGAAGAATAATAGTCATTAAACGTCCATAATGTCGTCGATTTTGAAGAGATTACCGTCCAAGGAGAGGATACAACAGGTCAAGAAGCTCAGTGCTGAAATATTTGGAAATAACTGGAATCCAAGCAACGTAAGAAATGGATCGAAGGTATTGAGAGCGCCATTGAAGGGCCCACAAGTTGCCTCGTACTACGGTGATAATGATGCTATGCCAACGTTTAAGGACTTCAAGGAATGGTTCCCGGAATTAGGGTTTGTGGATCCAAAGGAAGTGTATCGTGTTAAAATGGTCCAAGACAGAAAGAAAAGAAACAAGGGTGCACCAAAGAAAAAATCGAGCTAGAAGCATTAGCTGGATTCTATCCGTATATTACTTGTACATATATAAGTTGCCTTTGATCAGGCGACGCAATACTATAATAATTAACGCTTTGGCCTTTTTTGTAGATTGAAAGTGTCGGTTACATCGTCGGTGTTTTCCGTGAGACTTGGTCGATTGTAGTTGAAACGATTGCGCTTTATCCTCAGACCTTGGCCCCATTCCGAGTGTTGGACATCTTTCATAAGCCCTACCACTTTGGAGTTGTCCTCGTGGTATTGGAATTTCTTCATAAGGGAGAAATTGGAGTCGTCGTCGTTTGTCTGTGCTACGTCTTCGGTTTTATTAGCATACAGAATTATTTGCCAGTTGATGTGCTCGATACTGTCATTGATGACCATTAATTCTGTTGCTTTATTTTTCTGAAACACGAAGACTTCTCTGATTCTTGTGGGTGTCGAACTAGTATATAAAACTTCGAGCGATTGTTTTGAAAAATCGTACGTAGCTATATGATCCTCTGTCGTGATTAGGAATTTGACGTCTTCGTTCTCAGTCTTAAATAGCCTTAATGATAAGATCTTTGATGTGACATGAACAGCTGCTTCCAAATTGTACGTAGCGTTTCTATCAACCGACGACCCATCTTCGACGAATATTTTGTACAAAAGAATTATACCTTCGACTTGTAAACATGCCCAGTTAGCAATTTTAGTATTTTCGACTAGAAAAGTTTTGAGTCTACAGCTGCTCTTTAATATCAATGCCGTGTTCAATGTTTTTCGGTACCGTATGGTACGAGTAGAAGGATCACGAAACTGCTTCCAGACATTGTAAACAGGAGCATCAGGAATTAGTGACCTGTTTATAATTCCGAATGATTTGATAGAGACAAGAATTAGCTCCACCTTACATGAGTCGTCAGTGTGTTTGGTGCTTGCAATTAATAGGTATTCAGCATTGTTGGGTGCAATTTGTATCCATTGCGAAAGATATTCCAGTGAACCGTATGATATTAATGAATTGTCTTGTGGATGGTCGACGATACCCTTATTTAAATTATTCAAATTTATAATGGGATCACCAATAGGAAAGTCTGAGACTTGATTGAATGGTTTTCTGTAAACACCGAGAGAATTATAAATTTGCAAATCGAAACCGAAAAGAGAATCAACGGAATTCAAATTACAAAGCCATTTCCCAGAATCCGACCAGTTAACCATAGTATGCGAAGTATTAGTAGAAAACTTGAACTTGTACAACAAATTGCTTATGGATCCCTCGTTATAGAAATGGCAAATTACTGGAGCAGCATCTGATGTTATTGGAAGCTCCGAGTTCACCACCAATGACCATATTGTATTTTTCAGACCCGGCCTAATTAGAATCTCATTTGATATAGGCTTATCTATTTTCCACAACATTTGCGTGCAATCAAGCGAAAATAGCTTTACTTGGAGATTATGCTTGGTAAAAATCAACAACTGCTTACAGTTCGTATATGCACCGGGTTCATCATCTTTATCCTCTGTATCCTTCTCCGTTGGCGGGATCCATTGGAAATCTTCAATTCCTTCGTTGTTTGTTTGATGTATCACAATCGGGTCTGAATATTCTCTAATATCAAATATAAGTAGCATCGAAAGTTTCTCCAAGACAATACCGAATTTGGAGCTGCTCATCCCTGTCAACACGCTTTCCCATCGTATTATGCTAATATCTAAAAGTGTTCCTATCACTCCTGTAAAGTCTTCAATATACTTGTTTATATGTTTCAGTACCAATTGCCCCAAATCGTATGTTCTGTGTAGGCGATTCCCAGTACTTGATACGCTGTATATATCAAGGATCGAGGATTTTGGAACTATAACAGCAAAGAAATTCCCACATTGAGAAGGTGAACTCATTCTTCCTCCTATTACTTTACTTAGGGACATTTTACCCTCCTTGTACCTATGATTCTTGAATAGTGGTGTCTACTTGTCTATCATAATACCAATATATTGATAGTTACACAAAATCACCAAATTTAAATCATAACAAAAACCATAAAACAAAAACAATCAACATACAGGATATTCACCATCTACGATAGGATCTTTCATCAAAACTACATCAAAATAAGACAAATTAGGTCATAGGAGACTTGAGTATGGGTCCAAAGAAGAAGCAAGTATCCAATAAACTGGGTACTGCTCCAAAGAACGTGAAAAGTAAAGCTGGTACAGCAAATTATACAAAAACACCGAACAAATCAAGTATATCTCCAGCCACTAACAGAAAGAACAAAACATCTGTAAATGATTCAGAAAGTGATAACGATAGTGAATATTACTCTGGACATCTGCAAAGTCAGCCTAGTCAATTGTTGCTTGGGAGGAAAAACCGGTTAAATGATCTATTGACTTCATCACAAACATCACACACAAATAATGCAACAAAGAACGGGCCTAAAGGTAAGAAAGCAGGAAATCGGACTAAGAGCAAATTTGAAGAAGATGATGGATTCATATATAAGAGAGACCAGGATAATGATAAAAAGAGAAGGCCTAAGCCTGCTAATTCGCTCATATCACAATTAAAGGAAGAAACAAACCAAATATCTAACTATGACAGTTTGAGTCATTTGGAGTTTGAAGAGCCATCTAAGAAGAGATCCAGAAAGGAAACAAAGACGTCGAAGTCAAATGGAAATAAAACGAAGGCCAAAGCAAAGCCAAACGGTATAACTAGAAGACAAACAACAAGACGGAAATCCAATTTTCATGACGATTCAAGCTTACAGTTGTCATCACCTATAAAATCGCCGAGCTACGAAGACTTTTACAGTGCACGTTCATCTGACGAATACGAGGAGCAAGTGTCGCATCTTAAAATGAACTTGGAGGATTCAGATACTGCTAGATCAAGAAACCAAAAGGCACCAAACGCTAAAAATAAAAGAAGAGCTTCATATTATAATAGGGGAAAGCGAGTGCTGTCGATAGGTAATGGATTCGTTGGAGTTCCTCATGAAGATGTACCAACAAGTGATTACTATAAGCTATTGGATACGTCGTTACCAGAACCCCACAGAATGAGACAGTTATTAATATGGTCCTTCAAAAAGAAATTGGATCAAGAGGAAAAGCTGTCGAAAACTAAGTCGAAAACTGAAACAACTGAAGACCAAACTGTTATCAATATTGCCAAAGTCATTAAAGAAGAAGTATTACGAGATTTAGTAGACGGTCAAATTTCTATCAGTTGGTATAATCGTGATGAAAATGAAGATGAAACGAATGATAACTTGCTAACAAACAAAGAAGTTACCTTGCCCAATCCCCTTAATATTACCAATGAAGAGAATATTGAAATCTTCACTAAAAAGTTGAAGTCACTAAAACAAGAAAGATTGCAGTGGGAATCTTCCTTTAATAGATCAACTAGTCATATTCCAAATCTTAAAATTGATGCAGACCAAAGTGAGCCTGATTTACAAGAATATTGTCAAACAAGAAATCAAATTCAGGATAACTCGGTTGATTTCAATTCGACCGTTCTTAATAACTCCCTTGTAGACAAAATAAACAAGAACTACAATGACATTAGCGAAAGCGTTCCACATGATATAGAGACATCCACGGACAAACTATTCGATACGTCCTATCGCTTATCTCAAGCTAGCGATTTAATTGCAAAATTGCAAAACGATAAGTTAAACGATAAGGTTTCGTCACTAGTACAAAACTACATGACGAAGCACCTCCGTGAGCCACTGTCTCTCCAAACATCATCGTGGCCCGTACCAAACAGACAAATAACTACTAAGGAATTACTCAGAGGTATCACAAGGCTTGATGACCCTGGGGTCAGTCAAAATGATTAGAAGTACTTATTCATGTTTGCAGTCGCACGAGCTACAGCCTCTACATTCCCCGTCATTCCTTTTTAGACTTGATAACGATGAATATGGAATGAATATTTATAATACTTCCTCGATGCTGCTTTCTTGGACTGCGAATGCGGAGCAATTAAACTTCTATGCAATATAGTTTGTAAATTGCTATTAAAGTCCTTGGGGTCATACTTCTATCCTTCCACAAACAGTTTAACCTTATACCCTTTTGGCAATGGAAAGCCATGCTTATTAAGATTTGTATACTATTCCCTATTTGTAATATTACTTTATACCCTGTAATACTATCGTATTAAAAAGTTATTAATACACATTTTACCATAAATTAAATATCTTTTTTCGATATCTTTTCTCGTAACCATTTGAGATTTATGACCCCACTATAACTAATACTAAGGACTTTGTAATCGAATGATAAAAGGCATTTTTATGCATTACAGGTTGTACTCCAAGACAATAACTCATCGTAATTCATTGTTTCAGTGTTTTTCCGTTGTCCATAATAGGAGGATTAAATATTGACGCCTAAAGATTTTTGTTATGTTCAACAGAATATAAATATGGAGTACGATTCTTTAGGTGAAAGGTTCAAACATAGAGCAATTTCCAAGGTAGATCATTGCAATCATTTTATTCACAAGTTTTGCAAAAGACAAATTGTTATCAAGACTATGATAGTTCTAAATTTTATCCTATTATTTGTATTGTACCTGTATCATCAAGGAATCACATATGCTTTACCTTTCGCTATAAAGGATGTCAATATTGATGATTCATTTAATGATTCTACTGTTACATTTGAAACCATTGAAAGTAATAGAAAGCAATTACAAAAACTAATAAACAGTCGTGAAAATAAGGAAATATTTTTACAATTACAGAACTCAGGTAGCGCATATTACGATCCAACTACTAATACAGTGGGGACAGCTGAATTTCCAACATATAATCAATATCAGAGACAAGCATATGTATCAAATGGATATATTGGTAGCCGCATTCCCAATTTGGGACAAGGGTTTACTTTTGATCAATTGAGTGATTCACCGGATGCTGTTGAAGATGACTTATCAAACGGCTGGCCGTTATTTAATGAACGTTTCTCGGGTAGTTTTATAGGTGGGTTTTATGATATTCAGAAAAATACAACTGAAACAAACTTCCCTGAATTGATTAAAAAGGGTTACGAAAGTATTTTATCGGCTGTTCCACAATGGACTACATTAACATTGTCCACGGTTAAAAATGGCAAAACTTTTTCTTTAGATCCATCACTCTCAAGAGATGCACAAGGCGATATTTCCAATTATGCTCAGAATTTATCTCTAAGTAACGGCATTGTGACTACAGAGTTTACTTGGTTAGATTCTCTCCAAGTTCATATTGAGGTTGTAGCACATAGATCCAACATAAATCTCGGTATCGTAAATTTGAGGATTGTTAATCTTGGCAATTCCACAGTTGACTTAAAGGTTGAGGACAAGTTAGAGTTTGCTTCTACACAGAGATGTCAGCTAACTGAAGTAGGTCACGATGATGAGGGTATTTTTATTCATTTTCAGCCAAATGAAATAGATTATGTTAATGGTGCTATCTATTCCACATTGAAGTATGATGAAAAATCCTTAAATTCAATAAGTCGAGACTCCAAAAATGATACTTCAACTCAGGAATTAGATATTTCTGTTGAGCCTTCGAAATCTTTTAAAATTTCTAAGATGGTGGGGATCGTTTCTTCCGATTTAGATCCAGAAAAGTACAAGACATCTAGTTCTGTAAATGATTTTGCAAAACAAGTTGCAACTAAACAAGCAGATTCTGTTTCCGACCTCATCAAGTCACATAAAACGGAATGGGATCGAACATTTGAATCCTCAAACTCAATAACGTTCCCTGGTGATTCATTATTAACATTGGCATCGAGAGCGTCGATCTATCATTTAAATGCAAATACAAGACCTGGAGCGCGAGGTGTCACAGCAGCATTGCCAGTTGGAGGTTTATCGTCGGATTCATATGGTGGAATGGTCTTTTGGGATACAGACTTATGGATGCTTAATGGCTTGTTACCTTTCAATCCTGATCATGCTAAGAGTATTGTTAATTATAGAATTCATACTCATGAGCAAGCAAAGAAAAATGTTCCAGATAATAAAGGCGGAGCTGTATATTCTTGGACAAGTGGTAGGTTTGGTAATTGTACTTCAACTGGCCCATGTATGGATTATGAGTATCATATTAACATTGCAGTTGCAATGGCTGCATGGGAAGTTTACTTAAGTGGTGCCGCTGATGATGATTACTTAGATTCTGTTGCTTATCCATTGATTAATGATGCAGCTACTTTCTTAGCCAATTACGTTGAGTACAATGATTCACTTGCTCAATATGTAACTCATAATATGACAGATCCAGATGAATATGCTAACCACGTTGATAATGCCGCATACACGAATGCAGGGATATCGTTACTTATGAAGTGGGCAATTACAATCTCAAATCATTTGGGAAAGTCTGTTCCCACTAAATATACGGATATTGCTGGTAGCATGCATATACCTACTTCAGATAATGCGGATAATATCACCCTAGAATATTCTGGTATGAATTCATCTGTTGGAATTAAACAAGCGGATGTCATTATGATGACCTATCCACTAGGTAATGAATTAATATCTGATGATCAGGCCTACACTAATATGGAATTTTATTCAATGAAACAAGTAAGTTACGGGCCTGCTATGACATTTCCGATATTTTCGATTGTTGCTTCTAATTTGTCCCCTTCTGGCTGTGCTTCACAATCGTATTTACATAAAGCTGTTCAACCATTTTTAAGAGGCCCATTTGCCCAATTTTCTGAACAAAACAATGATAATTTCTTAACCAATGGTGGAACACACCCTGCATTCCCGTTTATGACGGCACATGGTGGATTTTTGCAAGCAATTTTACAAGGATTAACCGGTTTGAGGTTTGATTATAATATTGATGACACAAACAAATTATCGAGAATGTTAACTCTTGACCCAATTTCTTTACCTTGTTTAGGAAATGGTGTTCAGTTCGACAGTATAAAGTATATGAACAAGACCTTATCGTTGGCCATAAATGAAACTTCCTTTATAGTCAAGAACAATGGACCGATAACAGGTAGCAAAGACGACTCCCCGATCAAAATCTCCCTAGCCAAAAGAAACCCGAAGGCTGGAGTTTATACCTTGAAAAAAGGTGAAGAGTTAGTATTCCCACTTTTCGAGCCAGAGGCTGGCTCTCCATTGAGTGTATCAGAATGTGCTTCGGCAAAATTTATCAATATCACTGAAAGTGCATATGGTGATGCTACTGTACTGGTCAATGATGGCGATAATACTACACATTGGCAACTGAAATATAATGACACAACTGCGAAACTTTTAGTAGATCTTAAGCAACCGAGGAATATAACTAGCGGCGTAATAAATTGGGGAGACAGGCCGCCAAAGAGTTGGTCTTTGCTTGCATATGGGTCTCATGAACAATCTAAAATAAAAGACCTAAATGATAACATTGACTTCCTCAGTAAAGTTAATTTTGGTAATAATTTATACAAGAAGTACGAATTCATGGATGTGGATATGGTTTATGATCAGGATGATGTTTTTACTACCATAATCTCGGAAAGTGTTGATATATCTGCTCCATATGATCCAAAGGAATCAGCGCAAATTGAAATTCCCCTGAGGCATAACACCACTTCCTTTGCAGTGGAACAAGGTTTGAATGCAAGATTTTTGCTAATAGAAGTAACTGATATTCATGATACAGAACCTATTGATGATGAAACGGGAGGAGCTAAACTCTACGAAGTTGAGTTTTTTGAGTGAATATTACTATATTGTAAAATAAAATATACTTCTTAGAATTCAATGTAGACAGAAATATGAAATAAAAAATAAAGATATCTAGATATTCTATGTAATTTTTGTCTTCCAAATATCCAAGCATCTATAATGCTTCGGACATTTGAATAAGGCGCTTAACACCTGTGTGCCAGTTACCAATCTCTTCACTGTGGTTTGTAGCGATTTGAATATTCAATGCGTTAGCAGTTGCAAAGTCTTTTGCTTCTAAAGCAGTACAAACTTCTTTTAATGCGGCAATCGACTCATCTGATAACAAATCACTATTATTCAAGTGATCAAATAACAAATTAATTCTTTTTTCCATATCAACACCATGTTTAGCATATCTTTCTGGTATTTTAGGTTTAATTTCGTCAAGGATATTACTTAATGAATTAAAAATTGGTAAGGATTCTTCTGGCATATGTGATCTATCTCCAGGCGGATACTTAGGAGGTTCTGGTTCAGCAGCTTTAGTAATAGAAGGACTTGCTGCAGGTGGCTGTTGACTAATGCTTGGAGGTGGTGGGAATGAAGAAGCAGAGCTGGCCATAGGAGGTGGTGGTACAACTCCACCCATTCTCGGAGCTGGGATTCCAGCAGCATTTGGTTTAGGCGAAGCAACTGAGGCTGGTGGTGGTGCGTATGGATTCTTTGGTGGTGCAGCCGTAGTAGCCCTTCCCAAAGAAGGTGATGCAATATTAGGAGTTGGGATAGTTGGTTGAGGAATACCTGCTTGCCCATAAGTTGTAGGTGGTGGTGCATATGGATTCTTAGGTAATGATGGTGATGTAGCTTGTATTGCTGGGGCATAAGGGTTCTTAGGAGGTGGAACAGGTGCAGTCGTAACTGTAGGTGGAAATTCGTTTACTCCAGGGGTCGAAGGAGCAGTAGAAGTTACACCTGGGGGTGGAGCATAGCGCAGATTCATTTGTACATGATTCTGACGAGGAGAATTTGCACTAGATGTACTTATTGAAGTTTTCGATTGGTTACGGCTCACTCCCTTTGGTGGTGGTGGTGCAACTGGTGGTGCCACTGAAGTTCTCTTAGGGGCACCAGTAGCTAATAGTGGACTGGAAGGAACCGGAGATGGGGAAACGGCTGCTGCTGCTGCACGACGAGGAGCTGCTTTAGGTTTAAAAGTATCAGGTAAATCGTTCCATCCCTCAGTTTGACTCTTATACGAGGCCTTTGGTGGGCCAGGAGGAGGTGGTGAAAGGGGATTTGCTGCTTGCGTTGCTGAAGGAGTTGCTGGCTTGTATGGGTTCGCAAATGAATTTGATGCATGCGCTGGCATGTATGGATTAGTGGAGGCAGGCTTGACGTACGGATTGGCAGCCGGAGCAGAAGGTAAATTTGGTTTGGTACTTGGTGCTTGTGTCTGTACTTGAGCTTGTGGTAAACGCATAGAGGCCGGATTAATAGGAGGAACAACACTGCTTGGTGTAGACTGGAAACCACCAAGTCCAGTTGAAGGTACAATATTTGTTTTACCGTAAGCACTGTTGGAATTAATTAAGCCTGGTCTTTGGGAGATATTTCTCGATTGAGTAGCACCTTGTTTATGGGTTTTAATACCAGAAGCCTTTGAAATACGGTCTCTTTCAGATTTCAAGCCTGCAAAGTCACTAGGTACTAACTCTAAAAACTTTTCAGCTAAATCAAATTGTCCATATCCAGCAACCAAATTAGCGTATTCCAAAATGGCCTTACAAATAGGTTCAATGGATGGACCTTCAAATTCGCCAGAAATGTTAGATATCGACCTATAAGCCGTGATTTTTTCAACAAAATTAGATAAGGCTTCATATCTGGCATCAGAGGGTGTTGAGAGTTTGGTATCATTAGACTTTAATAATTCTTCCTCAAGCTCTGGTAATTCTCTAAGCCATATAGAAGCGATCTTTCCTAACGCATTACCTGATAAATAACATAAGATAGCGTTATTTCTCTTTTCATCGGAAGATCCTTTTGAATCAATTATACGGTCTCCTAATTCAGTCATCTTACTATTATATTCGTTGACGTCAACACAGAAAGAGGAAATACTCATAGCAATCTCCTTCCAATTTTCAACATCAGCATGACACACTATATCGGTAACGTTATTAGAAGATGCACTGTAAAGTACTCTGGCAAGTTCATTATCATTCTTCTTAAAGAATGAATTCCTAACCTTTTCTTTAACTGTATCGGAACTATCTAAAGCTAAAATCAAAGCTTCGACTAATTTATCTTGTTCCAAGCATGATGAGACGGCTTCATCAATTTTTTTATTCAAGATCAATTTAATTAACTTTCTATCGCCGTCAGACTGTTTTGAGTCAAAAATTTTAAAGTCTCCTTGGGGAATATAAGACACATCATTTGACGTTCCATTTCCACTGTTAGACCCCAATTTATCGAAAAACGAGTCTTCTGTAGAAGAGATGGCTTCATTGGCACTCTCATCCGTTTGTTCAGATTTTCCTCTCTCCACCAACTCTTGGTCGCTTCCATTTACTTCGGCGTCAAATAATATATCCTTACCTGTATCGTGGAGCTTTTTCAATAATTCCCAATCAGATTGATCGATCTTATTGACGAACTTTCCTTCCAATTTTGAATCAATAATAGACTTAAAATCATTAGCTTTGAAAGCTTCGGTCAATCTATCAGACGATCCTTGGAAGTTATTATTAGTAACAAATTTTTCAACACTGACTACCGACTTACCGTTAGAGTCTTTCTTTACAGAGACTAATTTTGAACCAAATCCAAAGGATACGGATGTTGGAACGTTTAACCAATTTGGAGCCTGTTTTACATCAAAGACTGGCTGTTGATTTTCAGTTGTGGAAATCTCATTCCAAAATTCATTATCATCATTTGATGCAACTTTAGTCGATACAGGTGGAGAAGTATCTTGTAATGATTGGATAATAATCTTTCCATCAAATGAAGAAGTAGCAAAAATTTCTGGAGCTGCAGGAGCAAACTTAGTGTGGAAGGCCCAATTAGCGGTGGTTTGATATTCACCTAATTTTTCACCTTTAATAGGATTCCACAACATGGTTGAATTGTCCTTACCACTAGAAATTAAAAGTTCTGGGTCTTGCTTACACCAGTCTAAGGATAAAACCCCCTTCTTATGACCTTCCATTATCTTTTCAGGGGCATTTGCATTACGCAAATCCCATGTTAATATTAATGGGCATCCATCATTGTCACTAGCAGTGATTAATTTTGTTGATTGAGTTGGATGCCATGCAACACACGAGAAATTAGCTCTTCCAGAAGGACCATTGTAAGATAAATGTAACACCTCTCTTTTGGACTTCAAGTCCCAAATAGAAGTGTAGCCACCGTTACCAGCGCTTGCAAAAATGTGGCTAACAGAATTGTTCCATGCAACACTGGTCACTTCATCCATAGGAGTCATGGCCTGACCTGGGGTAGATGGTTCGGTGAATTTCTTTGTATCCCAAATAAAAATTTCTCCATTAGACCCACCAGTAACCAAAACATGATCCTGATTTGGATTGAACAGCAACGTTTTGACTGGTCCACTATGTTTTGTACCCTTATGCACTGATGCCTTGCTTAAATCTTTGGACTTGATCAAGACTTCTGCGTCCCAGAATTCCACCACTCCGTTCTCGAAAGCACCCGCAAGAAGTCCCTTTGGTCTACCTTCAAATGGTTTGGACCATGCTAACGCATAAAATCTGTTGTCCACCGATGCAGAAAACACAGGCTTGTTTCCGCTAGTAGGTGAAAATATGTCCCATAAGTCAAGAGTCGATGTCGAGTCAAAATTTACATCCACGGCTCCTGCGACCGTCCCCGTAGCTAGCAAGGGCAAGCAATCCTGACTCCAAGCAAACGTTGAAGTACGTGATATTTCGTCGATCTTAACCATTCTTATAATCAATTATAACTATAATGCCTGATTTAGCAATTTAAATATGATTTTTAATGATTCAATGTATATAATAATTGTCCTTTACTTTGAAAACTCTTTCACAATCCTTGTATTACCGCCTTGATTCTTATATAAGAATTTCTAGTTTTTAAAGATATACAAATTTTCAATAACAATTATTTATTAGGATACCAATTGGTTAACTAACTTCGATTGATTATTACTTATAACCTAATGAATCTCTTAATGCAGATCTAAACAACACTGATTCTGCCAACGCACCAATTCAATGATCCATTTTCTGCGTTGAAAAAAAACACAGTCACATGATCGTTCCAAAATCCCAATGGAAGCAACAATAACGGGTATAAGACGAGATTGGAGGCCCTACAAAACGTTGGGTTTAGTAGAAGAAGGTATGGGGGTGATTGTATACTTGTAGGTTTATCCTTTGCTTTCTTTTGGGTAATTTATGTAGGACGCTAAATGACTTGCAGTACTGTAAAGAATTTTGGCTAAACGTAAACACTTACAGAGCACGGTAGATGAATGCTGACCGAGGTTTTTGAATGGTTAATAACAGCTGTAATACCGGCTTTACCGCACATCCATGGCTTATGTGTTTGCGTGGGTTTTTGGTATACTTACATTGTAGCAATTGTCAATTGTGGTTCAAAATTGCAAGAAAGAGTTGGGCGGCTAAATATGCGAAGTGCAAAATTCCTCACAACAAGTAGAGAATTCTTGCAGCAAGTCTTTAGATTGGAGCTACAATAAACGCTGTGTGTCAAGCGATTATGTATTGGGCAACGGATTATTTTGATTCTTAGTTTCTTGGAATAAATGGACCGGTGTATAAGCTGCAAAATAGTACAAAACTTTTAACTACAGAACCCCTAGATTCCACTGAGGAGACAAAAAGTGTAAGTGTGACCATTTCTATGGTTTCTGTATATTTCTGGATTAAGATGGAAAAGACAGCTGTTGAATTAAATCGATTGGATCTCGATTACTTTCTAAAAACCATAGTTCCTCTATAATTATCTTGAAAACTGACAAGCACTGATTGATAACCGTCCTTATATTGACGTCAAGTCACATTTGAGGCACCCTGCACTAATAGAGATGCACATTTGATCATAATAGAACCCATATCTCTGGCTAGAAAGACTGTTCAGTTATAACCTGTAAATTACGTCAATTGTTCTTTTGCAGATTAGTGCGAGCCTTAAATATCACCTTCATCTTAGGTGGACTTTGACATATTTCTATATTTAATTACAGAGACATGACATGCTGGAGGACCATATAGATAATGAACAGGATCAGAAGGTAATGGAATTTGATATTCCGTTACCATTGAATGAGATACGACCTTCGTCAAATCTCATGAAGAGGCATACCAAAATCGCCATTCTACTCGGACTACCAGAAGATGATATTCAAATACAACATCTTTTTAGTACAGTGGCAACAATTTGCGATCCATTTACACAACCAGAAGAAACTGAAAAGTCTGTGCTAAGCTTGGATTGTTTATCAGACGTACTTATTGCATTATCATATACATATTTCAAAAACCACGAATCCGATGAGGAAAATGAAAGCTTGAGGGACCCAGACATACAATCGGTGAAATTTGCCCTCTCGGCCCAGTTCTTTACACTTTTAAGATATATTCAGGCGTTGTTGAATGCTGATGATGAGATCCAACTCAGGTACGTTAAGAATTCCGAAGACGTTTGGCTTAAAAATTTGCCAATATGGACACCCAAGGAAGCCATAATGAGTGATGAATTTGCTCTAAAGCTTTGCTATTCCATATCATGTGTCCTCTTATTCTCTATAAACAAATTGTTTAAACCAGAGAATAATGAACAAGAATATAACGTAGCATTGAACCCATACTTGCAATATTTCATTAAGCTTTGGAAGTGTCATACAAATATCATATTGTTGGGTTTAGAAATCGATCGCCGGTTGGAACTCGAGCAGGCCCAATGTCCTTACATGATTACCCGTACATTAAAGGGTTCTAGCTCAATAAGATACGTCTTAGCATGGTCTTTAAACCAGAATCCTTCACTGTTAGCATTCCATGGATTTGAAACGCCTAGTCCTGAAGCAAATAAGAGTTATTTCGGTGGTCTCTATGACATAAAGTACTCAAGTTTACTTAATTTCACTCAACCAATGTCTCGTAAGAAAATTAATGGAGGTGCACTACTGATAGACATGAGATTGGTTGTAGTTGCATTATTAATCATCAATTCAGGTATATCTTTCACCGCTAGACAAGAGAAATCTGATGATCTCGCATTAGTAGCAGCAGAAAGAATTAGCAATCAATCAACTCCAATTGCAGAATTGGGTGATTTACTAATTGATTTGGAGTATGATGATCAATTTGATGAAGATATACGATATATTTTCGAATGTGAATACGATGAAGTAGAAGAAGAATGGCTGGGTGTTGTGGAAGAAGAAGAAGCTAAGAAATTCCAAAATAAAGAGGAGATCTCAAATCCACCAAAACTAAACGAAAAGGAAAGAAAAATGTCTAATGCAGTTCGAACAAAAGATGATATTGACTTCGATGAGTTTGGAAATGATTGGCGTGACTTGCCTCGTGGAGACAATGTATACTTTCAGGACTGGTTTATTGATATGGTTAATGCCTTTGATAATCTGCCAGAATCGCAAAAAGGGAATTCGGATGATATTCTATATTGCTGGAGTGAATTAAAAGAAAGTTTTGATTTTCTCACCACCACAAGTATAGAAGGTGACAGTGACGCAGAAGAAAAATTTGGGCAGGTCGTCATCAACACTGTTTCAAAGGCTATTAAGGATGAATCTGATGATAAAATTAATGATCCTGCGCTGGCTAATACTCCCGATGTTATCTATCAATATTTTTGTGAACTGGCATCAGAAGAAGATATTCAAAATACGCAGAACAATAATAGGCTCATAGTCCCAATTTTCAATATTACTAAATTTGAATTACTTTTACACAACAATAGTAAGTTAGCAAGATGTCTAATGGATGAAATGCTTATGTGTAAAGGATATCGTCGTGTATTGATTTGGTTCATTACGCATGATGTCAATTTGTCCACATTATTGATCGATTACATTTTTGAATTATTAGCGGGTTTACGAGGAAACGACGAAAAACAGCGTCCTTACAAGCATACTAGAAAAGGACAGAAGGTTGAATTAAGTGAAGTTGAGCGACTGATGCTTCTTCATGAATTTTTAACTAACAGTGGAATATATTTATCGGCGACCGAGGGCATCGAGATTGATAATGGATACAAGGTGGTATTATCTGAGTCGATTGCAAAGAAATACATGACACTTATTTGTCTTATGATAAATCAACTAATCAATATTGGAATCATAAATCTCGACAGAAAATCCATTACTAATAAGGCGGAAGGTGAAGAAGATATTCATGATTACTCAACTGATCTTCAAGTTCTTTTGATTCAATGGATAGGTAAGCTACCAGAGGCTCGCGAACTCTTTTTTAAGATTAAAAAAGCAAACTATAATGATGATGCAATTGATACGGATAATGTAACTGCTGAAGTCCCTACCCTATCTACTAATGATGCAGATGACCACCAAAATGTTTCAAACCTCCTCGAACGCTATAGGGAAATGACAAGCGACCAAATTAATGAAGACTTGGGAAAGGATCTGGCGAATATAGCGATGCTTGTTGCAATTATAGATCGGTTAGAGAAACATGTCAAAACTGTTATAGCGACCCAATTACGTGAAGTCAGTCTTCTAGACGAAAACATGATTTCTACTGATCTCGACCAAATGTCCAGCGACTTCAATCTTTTTCTACAAAATTTCAACACCTTCTGCAAGATAGACTTTTTCGCAGAAGAGCTATTCGGTATTCTTGAAAACCTTGCAACTACCGGAAGCTTCATCGAGAAAATTCCTATGCTAACCGAATTCGATTCCGAATTTAATGAACTGTTCCTCAATGGTGAAGGCAAGTTCAATGACAAAAAAGAAGACGAAAATGAGAGCAAATCATCGAAGAAGAAGAAGAAAAAGAAGAAGAAGAAAAAGGTACAAGTTCATATCTGGTAAAAATATTAGTATATAGGTATACACTAGTATCGATATATTTTAATGTAGACAATAAGAATGTAGTTCATTGATACTAGTCAACCTGTAACAGAGTCAATAACAAATTGACTCTGAAAAAGCGCCATCCTACACAAAAAGTCTGGAAAGGGGAACGCTACTACTTATGTGTTCATTATCACCGAATAACTGAAATACTATAATTTCTTCCAATATGTTCGCTAATCAATTACGTTCTAATATTACTAAATCAATTAACATGTCTTCCAAGAGATTATCTTCTTCCATTGTTCCAGTATGTAAATGAAGCAAAAATTCGATCCGGAAATCAAATACTAACTTTTCAGGTTAAAACTGCCAATGCTCCTCCACCTGCAGCCTCTTACTCTCAGGCTATTAAGGTCAATGGTATGTGATTTATAAAATTAAAGGGCGACATTGCAACGTACCATTCATAATTATGCCCGTCATAACGAAGACGCATATTACTAACACTTACAGGCTTCATCTACGTTTCCGGACAAATTCCATACACCCCAGATAACAAGCCATTATCGGAAAAGCCATCTATTCCAGAACAAGCTGAACAAGTTATTCAAAATGTTTCTAACATCTTGGAAGCATCTAACTCCTCGTTGAATCACATTGTCAAGGCCAACATTTTCTTAACAGATATGCCAACCCAGTTCCCTCTATTCAACCAAGTTTACGGTAAATACTTCTCCGAACACAAACCTGCTAGATCCTGTGTTGCTGTAAAGGCTTTACCATTAGGTGTTGACTTGGAAATGGAAGTTGTTGCCATCGAAAAGGAAGATCCAAAGTTGTAAGTTACATTCTCCATGAATCTGTAGACACCGATATTTAGCTTTAATATACAGTATGTTTGGAATTGTATTTACGTACTCTATATTCGCCTGTACTATATACATCTGTACTGTATGCTCCTGTACTATAGTCTCCAATTCATTTTTAGATCCTTTCAATCATGTGTTCTCCACATAATGCAATATTGGCCATCTACACACCTCATATATATACTGCAATCCTATTTCATCTGTAATATGTCTATCCTAAACTCCACATATCCTTTTTCACCCTATTTCCAATACTTACCATATTCAATATAATATCTTTTTAATTGACTTTCGAAATATCATCTCATATCTTCCTCCAGTGTAGTATTCTAACTACAAATCTACGAACCACACGTTACCCTAAAAATATCCATGAAATTCTCAAACTATCTCCAATTGTACCTAGACTATAACTGATCTAATTCCTGATATATTCACTAATTCTACAGTCACCACCGTTTATATCTATCCTATAGACCTAAACCACACATCCGTATTATGCACTCTCAGGAACGGACAATTGCAGCCATTTAGGTGTAAAGCCCTATAAATATTATTTCACGTGTTAAAACTCTCATTAAACACGACATTGTCGCATTTATGTCGCACTCTCCCAGCTTAACTATGGGCCGCACTAATGTTACGATGAGCTCCGCTTAACTATGTCTCCAAGGTTTGTGTAACAAAAACCTGGTTCGTCCATAGTGAAGGGATTGTGAACGGACACGACCACGAATTTCGGTGAAAATTCTCATACTCTCTGTGGAAAATTTTGATACTACATACCTCATACTTGAAGAGAAAGTTTACTTACAGTTCCTTTGGAATTATAGCATAGAAATCGACTTCAAAATGGCTCAACGTGTTACTTACAGAAGAAGAAATCCATGTATGTTTATATCTAAGTATGACCAGGACTACTGAACTATGAAATCGGATGAGAAGACTAGAGGAGAATGATACGGACCAACAAGAAATTAATGTTAAAGTGGTAATGTAGAGCTCTGTGGAAGAAAAGTACCATTGAGATATGATTAAGAAGGAGATGAGAGAATTATATCGAAGAACGGAAGTGTTTTCGGGATGTGAAGGGGAAATAAATATCGAAGTGAAAACTTATGAAATGGAGATATTCGAGGTGATAATTAGAGTATTAGAGAGAATTTTCATTTAACAATGGTTTAAGCAGATGGTGTCAAGTGATACTCATTAGATTTGCAGATAGTTCAGCGTCGTGGTCACGAAATTGATATTTTTGAAATTATACTAACAGATTATAGACAATACCAGATCTAACAAGATCAAGGTTGTTAAGACCCCAGGTGGTAAATTAGTCGCTCAACACGTCAAGAAGCTCGCTTCTAGACCAAAGTGTGGTGACTGTGGTGATGCTTTACAAGGTATCTCTACTTTGAGACCAAGAGAATACGCTCAAGTTTCTAAGACCCACAAGACCGTCCAAAGAGCCTACGGTGGTTCTAGATGTGCCAACTGTGTCAAGGAAAGAATTGTCAGAGCTTTCTTGATCGAAGAACAAAAGATCGTTAAGAGAGTGTTGAAAGAACAACAAGAAAAGGAACAAAAGGCCGCCAAGAAGACCGGTAAGAAATAAGTTAACTTAAAGATTGAAGCTTTGTAATATCTAGTTTTTGGTTTTTAATGGTATCTTCTATGTAAATTTCTTTGTCGTTTTTAATACACATTTATACGTTTAGCTTCTTGTAGATTTATTACCGACACCTAATGAAGAGATTCAATAGGTTAATTGAAATACTTAACCTGTGAGTTCCCTGGTGCAGTGACAATTCATTAAGATCCAAATATAATTTGTCTTCCGGATTATCGCATACATTATAATATCTTGATATTATGATATTTTAAGTAAGGATATTGTTAAACAAAATATCACTTAGAGTGATTCATTCACGTTTATTGCTCTAAAGAGATCTAGACCCATGTCAAACAAATTGAGTAGATTTTCATAGTATAGCATGTATCGTCCGAATTGGGTATAAACATATTGATAACCAGACGGAACCGTTATCCCGCGCACCCCCAAATCTAAAGTTAATTTCTATTGTAACTATATCTGATCTATTATTCAATCACATTATTATGAGAGCCTTACATAGAATAAGTAGTACGTCTATTAACATCAATATAAAAATCTGAATGAGGAAATATCAATTTAATAGGCTTATCCATTTTTGTATTATTGCAAATATGTACTGTGTGGGACTGAGGCTCTTATCTAAAATTCCATTTTCTGATACCTTCGCCCCGGTTTGCATAAGCTATTATGATTTATATTTATATTTATATAGTAAGAGAATTGAGTCATACCTCTATCCTTTAAAATAGCTACCCTTTTTCTTCTTAAAAGAAGTAATTATATATTGTTAAAAATTAACATTATTCGCAATAATTTGTGTGTCGCAGCTACTAAAATGGAATCAACCAGACTAGAAAACCTAATAGAGAATACATTTATTCCACCAAACAAACCTAAATCAGAAGCCAAGATTCCAAACTACCATCCATGTCTAATAGTTCAAGATTCTCAGACAGATGTTAATAAGTTAAAGCCATGTGGGTGCTACGATAACTTTTGCATCAAAAATGCTTCTACATTGATTCCTAGATCAAGAAGGTAGATATCCTCATCATCAAATAATAACGCTTATAGCTTTTAATTTGAGTTAGAAACCCTTGCAAGAGCTATGTGCTCGTTATGAGATAGGTTCGAATAAGTACCTCCAGTCTTGACGATATTGATACATACTATTGACTTGAACACTAAATAAGTATACACTATTTATTCTCCATAAGTACAGAGATAATAATAATAATAATAATAATAAATACATGATTGAATTAAATAAGGAGTAAAATAAGATGTTTCAAATTTTTGAGACCATTAAAAAAAGAAATGTATATGACTTCGTTCAGTAACCTGAAAAGTGATCTATCCATTCATCTGACTAGGGCTTTGTGGACCATTTACAAGCTCATTAGTAACTTGTTCTCGTTTCCAAAATCTTAGTAGTAAATCGCCATAATTTTGCAAATCTTCTACCGAAATCATCAACTTAAAATCTAACAACAATAAGAACTGTAATTCAAGATAATTTAATTCTTCTAAAGGTAAACCTCCAACCTTTGCATATCTTAAATTTTTATAAAATATATCTGAGAAAAACTTTGATGAAACTGTGATACCAGATATAATTAGCCTATGGATATTATAAGAGTCCATGACGAATAGCTGCTCCGGCTCTTGCTCTTGATCTTGCTCGCCATCATTGCTCTTGAATTGTTTGAGGTTATTTGCTTTCTTTGCAATGCGATCAAAATACACCAACAATGACAAAAAAACTTCATTAGTTACAGGGCAGTATTTCAATACTCTCGCCAAGTAAGCATGCAAAGATATACCAGGAACGTTTGTACCATGAAATGCTAATACATTAGCTAAATACTTATTTTTCATTTCATCATCATCATCTTCATCATCATCTTCGTAGTCATCATTACTTAAATCGTCTGGATCGATATTTGAATCAATTGAAGCTTGCTTTTGTTTTAATTTTTCTAACTTTTTGTTCTTCTTTTCTTCCTTCATTTTCTGGCGAACTGCGATTGTATTATCGAAATGGTTAGGGTGTAATTTATCATTAGCTTCAATTATTTTAGTCAATAAACATGATAACATTAGTATTAAATCATTAACAGGATAGTCAACGATGTCCAAATGTTCATCATCATCATCTTCAGAAGATTCGCTTGTCAAATTTTGTAAAAATTCCTTGTACGTCATATAATGATCAGGTTCCTGAAAAAAATGTGACTGCTGATTATTGTAAGAATTTAATTGCAGCTGCTGTGATTGAAACTCCTGATTTTGAGCTGGAACCTTATTTATATTAGTAGGCATTGACTGTGATGGATTTGGAGCATATGAGTTCGTATGCAGTTGAGGCTGATACTGAAAAGATTTAGAACCATCAAAACCATAATTAGAATTTGTCGATGTGCCTGGCTGCGGAATTCTTGAGCTATTGATCGAGCTGGAGCTAAGCGATTGGTTTGCTGTGTTTACAGACTCAATTGAAATATTTGTAGTTGGTTGCCCGGTTGAGATGAGCCCAGCAGGTCTGAGGCTTTGAGCAGCAGAATTATGCTGGGGTTGTGTTTGGACACCAAACGAGTTACCACCTGGCATCGCTGGAGTATACGAGTTAATTGAAGAATATGAACTGCTGACAGCTGTGGGTGTGTTGTGACCCGAAGGTATGTAGTTGACCGAATCATTGTTTGATGGTATGTATTGCAGGTTGGCATTGTTGCGATATATGAAACTGGGTTGATTTGGGTACGAAAAGTTGGTGAAATGACTATTAGGATTATTATAATTGTAACTGTTATGGTAATCAATTGACTGGGAAACTTTCAGATCGTTATTTCCCCGGTCGTCTTCCGTAGGTATGAATTTGTTGAATGACGATGCATGCGATGTGTTATAACTCGATGGATGGCCACTAGTTTGATGTGGCTGCATCGATAGCTCATTCAGACTCGGTGGCTTTCCGATCTGCTGCTGCGACGAAGATAATAGGTTCCTGGTCAAATTCGAAATGCTGCCCTTCTGTTGCGTGGAACTGCCAGCCTCGGGATTATTGTATTGGGAACTCATCAATGTGTACCAATAATTATTCGTGCTTTCTCTAACTGTGTGTGTCTCGTCTCAATTGCTTTTATTTTGTGTTTAACTTCTTGCAATATACTTCTGCTATCAATGTTAGTGTTATTTTGGAAATTAAGCCAACAAGGATATTACATACAAGCATAAATCTTTCTAGCGGCTCTATGAACATAAACTGAGTTTTCTCTTAGTACATAGATATTTTCACTATATTTTATTTTTGTATTGCGCTATTACAATTTCTCTATAACCCAAACAATCTCTAATGGATCTTCTTTTTAGGTATTAATGCCTACTAAACGTTGTTTATTGGCCTTAATCGAAGGCCCACTGATTTCCTATAATTTCCGGAAGTTACACAAAACTTGAAAATGAGCAAATGTGGTTCAACACTACTACAACGTTTTTACCGGTTAGTTAGTAGAGTTGGTTAGTCAAAGATCGTCCTTAAGCAATTTTTATCTGGTCGGAGAGTTACTATAGGTTGAAATATGTCTACTGCATCGAAAATTACCTTTGGTTCTTCGTGTCTCCTTGCAGTTGGTACATTTTTGGGTATCAACTATCTTCAGAGGAGCGAAAGAGAATCTCTCAGGCAAGGTCCTATTAAAGATGCTGAAAGAATAGCCGCTAAAGAGTTAAGTAAGAAGCAAAAAGTCAATGATATGGAGCACAGGGAACAAATGATGCTTCAGGAAAAGTTTTCGAGTGTTCAGCCCTTAAATAACGAGATTATACGGGCAGACGAGGAACAAGAGTAAGACAGACGGGCGGATTTGTAGAGGAAATCAAAATGTGAATAAGTAAATACTATAATAATCTTGTAAATATATGTATGTGTTCTTGGAGACACCAGTGGTTTGAATCGGTAGATTGCCAGCTAGATGTACTATGATGCACGTTTTTTTGATCTTCGAATGATCTAGACGCCAGCAAGGTCTTCGAGATGCTCGACGAGCTTGCTTACGCTTAGCCAGGGGCCTGCCTCAGAAGATTCACCAATACGGGTCGTCAGAAGGAGGATGTTCGATCTAGCGAATTGACAAGCAATTCATCTAACCAGGTCCGGCGGCTGAGGATCATCGGTATGTAAAGAAGCCACTGTCTGGATGGTGAAATTTTCCATCGGCCTTTTATAGACGATGAGACACTCGGGAAATGGTTCGGTAAACACACGACCCGTTCGATTTATGGGAACCTAGATGAAGTACTAATGCTATTATGGGTCCAATGCAGGGTTCTAGAGAAGTTAATAGGGCGCACAGGGGACGGAATTATAAAGATGTAATATTAATTAGACAGTAAGTGATACGTGTCGCTTAGATACTATGTAGAATTTGAAATTGGTGATTATTTTATATATTTGATAATTCGGGACTTTTGACATTGGGTAATAGGTCAACTATATTATTCCATTTTGCCAATAACGCTTTCTTCTTCGTATGATTCGTTGCTCTGTTTGTCGAGGTCATCGAGGTCGTCGTTGTTATTTAAATGAAGTGCTGGGGAAGGCGTTAATGTACTGGAGTTGTTGTTCTTGGCAGCTAAAGTAGGGGATCTCAAATCGTCCTTTCCCACCGGGGGGATAATCGAATTAGAGCGACCGTTGATCCTTGATCCCTGGGCGTCAGAAACCTCATTGTGCGTGTCCAAATACCCGCCTGCCAACGATGGAGACTTGATTGTTTGCTGTTCACTGATTGGAGGGTAATGCGAAATGGAGTGCGATCTATTAAAGTTATTGTTACCGGGTCCGTCATAGTATTCGTTGCTATTCATGTCAAAAGAGTTTTTAAATTGCTGTTGAGGAAAATTAAACCTGACCGTGCTACCGTGGCCTGGCTTGTTCGACTCGGGGTGCATTGGAGGAGTGGACGTGTTGGACGTGACGTTCGTGTCGGCCGAATTACTCGGAGAAAATGGCGACGGGTACTTTGGATCGTCAGCCTGGTTTTCATCTGGGAAAACCGAGTTTCTTCTAGACGGGGTCTGGCTTTCGTTCATACCCACTAAAATGCTAGCAGCTTCCAACAATTGAACTTGCTGATGCTTCGAAATCAACAACTTCTTTGTCACGTTCCATTCTGGTGTATGCTCCCATAAATGCTTTGCCAATGATGATATATGTTTGTAACCCTTTCCGCACGCTTCACACTTCAACTCTTCTTTTAAACGGCCTGTTTCGCCTTCACTGATTCTTCTGACGACAAATTCACGCGATAATGACGGAACAGACGACGAGATAGGCCCTCCCGTATGACTCTGATGCCCGTTATTGGGGATCGATTGCCCTTGGGTCTGTCCCGGCCCCGAAGACTGGTGTTGGTGTTTTATCGGGATTGTATATGGTGTCGCAGACGAGTTACGTCTATTGTAGTTGTATTGTGTGTGCATGCTTGTGGACATCTTCAACTCAAATTATATTCTTTCTTATGCTTATGTTTCTGCAACTATGATTGTGATAAAGACTTAACTCGGCTAGAAGTATGGGACTTTAGTGCTCGGCTTTGTTTTAGTACATATAGTTTTTCGAATTCGGAAAAGACAAATAAACCCTGCTTTTTCAATTAGAAATAATCACTCAAGCCAAAATCGCTTGATAATCTTCAATTTATAAACTACTACCTCTTAAAGTATATATTTATGATATTGTAAGAAGTGCTTGTTCAACATTCGTTGTTTCTGGTGAACCACTTCGTTTGCAC